CGGAGGGTGTGGTGCGGCTGACCCAGTCCGGGGATAAATGGGAGATATTCACCTTCTACACTGTCCTTCGCGGGCTGGAGGGCCACGAGGAACCGTTGCGTCACCGGAGGGAGAAGGGAGTCGAGCATGTGCGCCAGCGGGAGAGCAAGAACTGGAAGGACAAGCGGGAAGATAGCATCAACTACGTGGATGGCGAGCCTGCGGTTGTGATTGTCGGTAAGCGCGATCCCTGCGTCGCAAGGTTGGATCCGCAACTCACAGTCATTTAGGCGCCGGCCAAGCCGGCCTCACGGTCGCCGCGCGGTTGAAGATGCTCAACATCAACGCGCTCGTGGTCGACAAGAACGGCAGGGTGGGCGACAGCTGGCGCAAGCGGTACTACCAGCTCGTGCTGCACGACCCCGTGTGGTACGATCACCTACCGTACATCAGCTTCCCAGACTTCTGGCCCGTCTTCACGCCCAAGGACAAGATGGCCGACTTCTTCGAGGCCTACGCCAACCTCCTCGAGCTCAACGTCTGGATGTCGACGACGCTCACCGGGTCGTCCTGGGACGAGGAAAAGAGGCAGTGGACGGTGACGCTAGACCGGCAGAAGCCCGACGGGACCAAGGAGACGCGGACGCTGCACCCCCGGCACGTCATCCAGGCCACGGGGCATTCCGGCAAGATGTTCTTCCCCGACATCAAAGGAATGTCGGGGTTCAAGGGCGACCGCCTCTGCCACAGTTCCGAGTTCTCGGGCGCGCGGCCGGGGTCCAAGGGCAAGAGGGCCGTCGTCGTCGGGTCCTGCAACTCGGGGCACGACATCGCGCAGGACTTTTACGAGAACGGTTACGACGTGACCATGGTGCAGCGGAGCTCGACGTCCGTCGTGTCGTCCGAATCCATCACGGAAATCGGCCTCAAGGGCGTCTACGACGAGGACTCGCCGCCCGTCGACGACGCGGACCTCTGGCTTTGGAGCATGCCCGCGGAGCTGTTCAAGGCGCTCCAGGTCGGCATCACGGAGCTGCAGAACGCCAACGACGCCGAGCTGCTCCGTGGCCTACAGGAGGCCGGCTTCCGGCTCGACATGGGGCCCAGCCACGCCGGCTTCTTCGTCAAGTACTTCCAGCGCGGCGGCGGGTACTACATCGACGTCGGCTGCAGCCAGCTCATCATCGAAGGCGCCATCAAGATCAAGGGCGGCGAGGAGATCGCCGAGGTCCTCCCCGGCGGCCTGCGGTTCGCCGACGGCTCGGAGCTCGAGGCCGACGAGATCGTCTTCGCGACGGGGTACCAGAACATGCGGACGGAGGCGCGCAACATCCTTGGCGACGCGGTCGCCGACCGGATCGGCGACGTCTGGGGCTGGGACGAGGAGGGCGAGTTCAGGACCATGTGGCGCAACTCGGGCCACCCGGGCTTCTGGTTCATGGGAGGAAACCTCGCGCTGTGTCGGTATTTTTCCAAGATCCTGGCGTTGCAGATCAAGGCGAAGGAGGAGGGGATCGATCAAGGGGGGCAGCCAAGCGGCGGTGGCCGGGACCGGCGGGTGGCCTAACTAAGCTTTGATAGTTTCGGCGTCAGGTATCTGACATTGGTATGGATATTCTGTTTCTCTCATTCCGATCCCATCATGCGACGCCCGCTCCGCAGCGAGTACGCGTCTGCATGGTCGTGTTTTGCGGGCTTGCGGCCAAGAGTTGGAGATAGACAGAGTCGACGAAAGTGATGGGAACCAGGGAGAGAGTAGCGTCGACGCCCCTGTTGCGCAACCACGATGATGCCTAGTTCAAACCCGATCAAGTCTTTTTGCTGGCGTCGTTCTACAACTGTTTCTACTTCCTACCCACAAAAAAAAAGAAACTCGCAGCAGTACCATGCTTCTGGGCCAGTTTCACGCTTGTGCTCTGGGGACCGGAACAACAGACAGACAGACAGACAGACAGGCTTTGCTGATCGACACGCGCTGCTCCCGAGTAACATGCTGTGTATCCGTTTGTTAGTGGGGCTTGAGGCCGATTCAACCTCCTATTGTTTCTCTTCCCGATGCAGATCTTCATTCAAACCTTATCGGTATCAACTTGGTGAGTAGCTCAGACGTGTACGCCGTCGCTCGACAGACTTCATAACACCCTCACGACATAGGCAGCGGTGCTAGTTGGCCGCGGCGGGGTTGAATTGGGCTTAAGCGTGTGGGTGAAACCCCGTCTCGTGGCATTCAGCTGCGCCCCCAGCCCCTCCGCCCCTCCCCCTCTTACTATGCGTAAACTAATGCGGACCAATGGTTGCTGAACGATGGCACGGCAGGCCCTGGTTTCTGCTGGGTTACACAGTCATTCTGGTAAGCCAAGAGAAGAAGCGATCTTCGAGATGATGGGGACTCACCAGACACCATCGTTTTGCACCGGACAGTCGCTAACCAAGAACAGATGGCCAGGGCTGCGACAACAGCGAGCGTTGCTGTTTCTGTCTGAGACCTCGTCGAACCCAAATTTCAGGTTCGTCTGTTAGTCGAGCCACGTCTCACGGTGTGGCCACCTCGCAAATCGCTCTCCTTGGCCGCTCTTTTTTCCTTCCCCCATCTTGAGGCAAAGTCCGAGAAAGCTTTCAGCGCTCGGCCGGATGCCTGGACGCGCCTTGCAGACAAAGCAAAACCAACCCGGCGGCGCAGGATATCTTGGAATGCGCTGACATGACATGCTCTCGAGTCATGAGAACTCTCATATGGGGGGAACCAGTCTTCCGACCCTTGAACTTTCTCTCGCTACCCGACATCCCCGCCGAATGGGAATATGAGCCTCTTCTCTCCCCTGCCCCCTTGTCCGCCCCACAACGCTCAAGTTGGTTACGGGTTGCGCCCAGTTCGAGTGTTGTGTGTTGTGTGCCTGGGTGCCCAAGTCGGCGGGAAAACAGATCGACAAATTGCCGTGTTTAAAGGATGGTTCTTACTAATGAACTCTATCACGTTTTACCTTCCTTTGCCCTTTCTACAGAATGATTTCGCGAGTCCAAGCGGCTGTCACGTCACCTCGTCGTCACTTGTCACAACCGCCGATCTGTCCGTTATAGCGTGTGATATTGTCCTGCAGGTAAGTCGATGCCTTATTGTTGGTCCATCGTGTAATTTGCCGACACAATGCGGCAGCCAGGGGAATAGGAAGAAACACCCTCTTCTATTTCTGTATATAGCTGGCGGCCGCTGACACTAACCTGTTGCTAAGCCCTGAAAGTTCAAGCGGGTGGCGGGCCAAGGCCGCAATCGGACGACGGCGCAACGCTCAGGGTGTGAACGGCCGCTGCTCATGAGCAGTGATTAGTGGCCAGGGGGCATTTCCGGCGTGCATAAATGCTTCCGAGCGGTATCCGGGCCCGGATGCTGGCGGCAACTAGAAAGTCAGATTTGTGTAATGTATCTTTCTGAATCCCCCGCATCCCTCTACCAAAAGAGGGAAAGCGTTATTTAAAACAGCCTTTTTTGCTGTTAATCTTAGCATTGAAAAAGGGTAGCTAACGTGATTAGTGAGTAGCCTAGATGTGCAAAGGAGGGCAACACTTACCTTATTAGTAGGAGTAGTGATAGTGATGGTGATAGTGATAGTGATGGTGAACCCCTCACCTCTAACTTTCACGATGCTTGGGGTTAGGGTTAGGGTTAACTATTACAGTAAGCGGTGAGCTACCTACGGTCTAACCCACTTTAGCGGTACTTCCAGGGGTAGCACAAGTAACGAAAAGTCCCTTCTGGCCACTAATCACTACTCATGAGCAGCGGCCGTTCACACCCTCAATGTGCCATGAAGCGTGCCAGGGCAGCCAAGGGCTGGGATGAAGGCTTCCAGAAGACTAGAGAACAGACGTTAGACCAGCGTCCCGAAGGACGGTTAACCGTTGACATTTGCAGATTGACGACGCCTTGTGATCGCCGACAGGTATGTGGTCGCAACTTGTGGCTTGTTCTTCTTGACCCTTTTCTCCTCTCCCGTGAAGCCAGCCCAGCCCAGCCAGCCAGCCAGCCAGCCAGCCAGTCACGGATGATGGTCGGAGACGCCCACAAGGCGGCAAGCGTCTCGGGCCGGGATCTGCGTTTGTTTTGAAATCCCAGAATACCAAAACCCTAGCGGGGAGGGAATGGCCGGCTTCAATTCTCCGGCCGACGCCGTGTAGAAGTGAGTCCCGGAGATCTGGTCTTCCGTTACGACTCGTAACAGGACTCGTGGCGATGCACGAACTCGATTCACGCTAGGTGATAGCCTTTTTCTTTTGCCCTCACTCAGCTCAGGGGGGGGAAGAGGGGGACACCACCATGTTGTCCTTAGCCGTAGTCGCAGTCGTACGTTCTGCGGAAGACTTTCCCGGAGAGCACATCCGCCTGCTTCCCTCCCTCCCTCCCTTCCTCCCTCCCTCCCTCCATCCCTGCCACCTCCATCTGTAACCCCGGTGAGACTACAGCTCCCATTGGTTCCTACCGCTTACACGAAATACACCATGTGGCCCCTCTTCTAGGCATCTCGCCCGGGAAGGCTAAAACTTCCTGGTGGACACGCAGAACGCCATGGGTGTGACCTAGTTTCGGCATGCACATGGTGCGGTAAACTTGCGGCGTCCCCGCTCCAGATACTGATCTCTCGGGGCTGTCTTCGTGTTGGCTGGTCCATCCCTTCGAGAGCGACCCCACGGAAAAACCTCGAGCCACGGGCCAAACGTTTACCTAGTACTATCAGCGCCTCTATTACGACGTTCAAGCAACACCCTTGCCCTCCGCAGAGATGACCCGACATTCCACATCGGGTCTTAGCGTATGTAGGACCAGAATTGCCCTTCTGTAGCCGCATAAGTTTCGATGCGGGCAAGGGGCCTAGGTGAGAGCAGGCCACACGGACGGAAGGGGGGTGGGATAAATATGATGAAGCCGCGCTCATTAGGTTCTGTCACCTTAACCCTATATTCTGTGCGATTGTCCTCAAATCCGAATCCCACCTTCACCATCTCATGCTTCGACGCCCAGCAGAATCATGACGGCAATCGTCTTCCACCAAGCACTCGGTGCGGTGCGGCATGTGCAGAGGGATGCCGCCGCCGAGGCCTCAGTCATCGACCATTCCCGAGATGGCGAGAGCCGTATCCCAGAAATCCTCGCCATACTCATCATCGGCACCGTCTTGTCGACATTAGCCGTGGCACTGAGAGCGTTTACGAGGATCAAGATGCTTCACACCTTTGGCCTCGATGATGTCCTCATGGTGGGGGCACAAGTGAGTGGCGGTCCTCTCCCTTTTCCAGATTTTCCAGAATGTCTGCTCACCATGCCGTTCAACTAGGTTCTCGTAATTGGGACCGCAGTGGCCATCGGACTCGGTGAGTCTGCTTCGCACTGCGAAATCAGCGACGCGTTTTACTGACGGCACGAAGAATCCTCGTGGGGGCTTGGCAAGCATTCCTGGGTCCAGCCAAAGGAGGACTACATTCCCTACATGAAGGTATATTGACGGTGCAAACTCCAGACCGGCCCTGTACACACACAGACACACACGTTGCTGACATCTTCTCTCCCCCAAAAAAGTCATTCTATGTCTCAATTATCCTGTACAACATCGCGACGACCGTCGTCAAGATCTCCATCCTCTTACAATACCGCCGGATATTCGCCAACAACCTGATGCAGACGATGACGACGTGGGGTCTGGCTTTCATGACCGCCTGGACAGTCATGCTCTGCTTCCTGCTTCCGATGATGTGCCTGCCCGTGGCGGCCTTCTGGGATACGACCCTCAACGGACGCTGCATCGACCTCCTCGCCAGCTGGTACGTGATGGCGGCAGTCAACCTCTTGGCCGACTTTGTCATCTTTAGCTTGCCGATCCCCGTCATCAACTCGCTTCAGATTCCTCGACGCCAAAAACGGATGCTCATCTTTGTCTTTGGTCTCGGATTCCTGTAAGTGGCCATCCCCCCCCCGTGCTGGCTCTGGTGGTGCCCAAAGACTTTGGAAACTCGGAGGCTGACGTGAACCTCAACAGCACCTGCATCATCTCCGCCTTTCGCATCAAAACCCTTCGCGTCGCAGCTCAGACCCAAGATCCGTTCTGGGACAACGTCGACGCCGCCACCTGGTCGTTCCTCGAGGTCACCATCGGCATCCTGGCAGCATGCCTGCCGACCCTCCGGCCCATATTCGTCGCCCTCCTGCCCCGTCTCTTCAACGGGTCGTCGTTACATAGCAGGTCCAAAGGTCAAACCACGAGCGAGCCCAGCAGGCTGCAGGGGAGGCACGAGCTGGGGCGCCATCTGCCGTTGAGCAGCACGGAAAGACTGAACTACCAAGCCCAAAACGATATCGAAATGTCTGGACCCGAGCCGGATAGGGCACCCGAGTACACCGTCAGCGTCAGCTCGGGGTCACCAATGGTCTCGGAAAAGATGTCCCGGGCAAAAAGTCCCGGTGGCGTGAGGGATGAAAAGGCAAACGTCATGGGGCAAATCAGGACCACCACCGTCGTCACACAGCAGGTCACTTTCGACAATGCAAAACGCAGCCCGACGCAATTGTAGAGAAGGACGGGTTTCAATCCTTGTACAATCACTCGGTGGCCTTTCACTGCTGATATAGTTTCATTTATAATGACATTATTCCATTCGTGTTGCAAAGAGGCGCCCCCCAGCCCGTGCGCGGCATAGCGCGAGTCACGCTTTGCCCCCCTTGGGATTCGATTCATGACATGAGGATGTTGCATCATACCTTTTTGACCTTGAACGCTACCCGATTGGTGACCTGAGGATGATGGTGTATAACAAGCTTCTAGGCTCCCGAGGATCCCGAGGATTGGTGTGGGCTTCTCACTGCAAGGTATCACCTTGGAAAATCAAGCATGACCAACAGCCATGACTAGGTAGCACTGAAGCCCCCCCCCCCCCCCCGGCTTGTAGAAGGCTATAGAGTGGGAATATTCTCGGTAACTATTCCTTTTTCGTTTATTGCAAGTATTCGTCCAACACACTCCTGGGCTCTACATATTTGCCCAGAGGCTTATAGTTGAGATCGTATCCGAACGCTCTCGGCCCGCCGATGTCCAAGCCGGCCTGTGTCTCTGTCCAGCGCGGCGAGCAAGCGATGCCAACTACCGTGACCCTATATCCGTACTTGAACTCGGGCACCCCGAGAGCCCGGCCCGACTCGTTGTCCAGGATCGAGATCAGGTCAGGCACTGCCGCCAAGATCTTGGTCTGACCGCTCTCGTCGGTGTGCTCGGCAAGGATGTTCTCATTCTTGAAGGGGATCTTCAGCATCCCGCCCACCGCCACCGCGGTGGCCCTGCCCTTGATGCCGGCCGACTCGTCTTCGTCGCCGCTTTCGAAGGCGGCAATGTGTACCTCGCCATACGAGTGGCCCTTGAACAGCCGCCTCTCCACCTTCATGATTTTGCCTCGGAACAGCACCTTGGCTGCGTCGGCCCCGCCCGCCTCCTCGATGATGGACTCGGCCACGGTGCTCATGGTGTTGGTGGCCTGACAGACTGCAATGCATCGCCCAATGCGCCACGCGAGCGAAACCGTGTTGAGGACACCAAACCTTTTGACTCTGTCACTGGTCGTCGGCTTGGCCGCCATGCCCACCCGCGACCCCATCTCAGAGCACGACGCACGCAGAGCGCGATCGACGATCTCGTCGTTCGGCGCCCTCGTCATGACAATGGTCTTACCGTCGCCCGAGTCGATGGCGCAGGGAACCAACTCCAACGGGGCATGTACTGCCAGTGTGGTCTGCCAGTATGTCGGGTAGGCCCTCCCCATCCAGTCGCCGTCGATGATGGGACTGTCAAAGAACCGTGACGACCCGACGAGGAAGGGCTCCAAGCCGTTGGCGCCGCCGATCTCAAGACCCATCACTGCGTCGAAGGAGTCATGGCCGAAGTACTCCATCAGAGCCTTGAAGGCGTCCACCGTCTCGATAGATTGCAAGCGCTCTATAGACACTGCTGGGGAGCCCATGTGGCCTGCAAAAATATCAGCATAAAGAGGTTCTGGATTGGGTCTTCAGCCAAGTCCAAGACGTACCGCCCCAGTAAATCACATCCGACTCCTTGAGTGAGGATGCGTCAACCACACGCATAGTGTGGCCTGCTCGGAGCATGTTCCGCAGCTGGATCTTGGAGGCTGCCGGGCTTCCGCCCCCGGCGCACCCAAGAACATAGCAGCCGTCGGCCAGGTACTCCAAGTCTGTCTCGGTTATGTGCCACTCTGCAACCGCGTGTGCGTTTCGGACGACCGTGGGCTTGTACGTCGCCGGGTCGACCTTCTTCTCCTCGTGGGTGGCACGAGTAAGATCTTTGGTCGCCTCGACCAGCTCCTCGTCCTCTCCGTCCTCGCTTCCTCCAACGACCTCGTCGAGCTTGGCGCGGAGGTCAATGTCGCCGACCGCCTTGACAAGGGTCCTGATCTGGTTGGCAACGTACTGCAGCGGCATGGTCTCGATCTCGGCAATCTTGATGCTTTCGGGGACGGCGCCGGCGGCGACGGCGCGCTCGACTGCCATCTTCTTGGCGTTCTCGATGGCCTGGCTCTCCGTCTGGTGGGTGGTACCTTGGACGATGTCGACCGCACCGCACACGCGTGCGATGGCTGCGCCGACCGCATTCGCCACGTCGTGAAAGGGTGGCCGGATGAGCTCAGAGGCCCCCCTGAGATTGTCAGGGGAAAGGATGGCGCCACCTCCGACGAGTAAGACGGGGACGGGGTCAGGCGACGTCTTGATCACATCAACGGCGCCCTCCAAGAGTATCTGAATCCGCGACACCGCCTCTTGGACGAAGTGCGGATCCAGGCTCTTGGCTTTCTCCGTGGCACCGACGACTGCCATGCTAGCTGCGACTGCGACGTCCGTTGTCGTACAAACATCGCCCCCAAAAACGAGACCGCGAGTGACCAGCTCAAGGCCAACAGACTCGGGCCCAACCTTGACCTTGCCGTCGACAGCCCTCACGATGGAGCCCCCGCCAAGTCCGATGGAATGGAGATGAGGCATGGAGTAGTTGACCCGGACCCCGGCAACGGTGACATAGGCCGAGGCCTGGCGTGGAATGCCCGAGGGGAGCAAGACGCCAACATCGGACGTTGTGCCGCCAATGTCCACCACAATGGCGGAGCTGTCGGCGCCGGAGTCCAGGCCGGCGAGGTAGGCGGCGCCTCTCATCGAGTTGGTCGGGCCGCTCGAGAACGTCCGGATAGGAATCCTGGCCGCTGAAGCCGCGTCGAGAATGGTGCCGTCGTTCTGCGTGAGGAAAAGGGGACAGGCGAGGTTGAGCCTCTTCATGGCGAGCCTGAATCTGCTCACGGTTCTCCGCGCGTAGCGCAGGATGGCGCCGTTCAAGATGGCCGCGTTCTCTCGCTCGATGAATCCGATGCTCGCGCTGGCCTCCTTGCTGCAGACGACGTCGACGCCGGGCACCTCGCGGAGGATGATGTCGCGGACCTTCTCCTCCTGCCCAAAGGCCTCGTCGATGGGCGAGTACACGCCGGACACGACGACGGCGCCGACGCCGCTCTCCCGGATCTTGACGCACTCGGCCACGACCTGGGCCTCGACGACCGGCGCCTCCTGCGAGCCGTCGATGTGCAGGCCGCCGTCGACGATGCCGACGTAGGACTGGATCACGGCCGCCAGGTCCGGGGGGAACTCGGCGAACGCTGGGACCTCGCGGAGGAACGACTTGCTCAGGCGGAGGACGCCGACGCGCTGCAGCCGGCGCACGTCACGCTCGATCACGGCGTTGATGAAGTGCGTCGTGCCGATGGTGACGCTGGCGATGCGCTCCGGGGACTCGGTCAATCCGGCCGCCGCGAGGACGGTGCTGACGGCCGTCTCGATACCAACGCTCGCGTCCGGGGTGGTCGGGGTTTTGAAGTGCGCCAGCACTCCGCGGTTGGCGGTGTGTTGAAGGCTCAAGTCGATGATAACTGCATCAGTGTTCGTTCCTTTCGACCACGGAGTCAGTTGGCTTGCTTGGGCATGGATGATGGCTGCGCTCACCTCCAACATCGACCCCAATGCGCACGGTTCTACATGGTGGTGGTGGCATGTCTTCCATGTTGACTGGGAATGCGATACTGCACCACACTTGGCCAAACCTTTAGGAATAATTCGTGTTTTTGGCCAGTATATGGCAGGCAGTCCGAGTGCCAGGATAACATATAAGCAATTTAAGCAAGCTCCTTGGCCGTCAGACAGCCACCTGGTGATAAATGACCCCGAATCAACATTACGCAAGTTGTTTATAAAATCTCTATGTAGCTGGAGATCATCCCCCCGACTAGGCGGCTGAAGCGGTTAAAGGAATAGGAATAACCAGCTCCACGTCTGTGGTATCACGTTTCCCAGAGCCCGTTTCGGTGGTCGGCAATGGAAACTTTGGGGGGATAGCAAGATAAGCAGGTTTAAGCAAGCAGGTACAAGCGTGGAGCTTCTCCGATCACCATACGGTCAAATGACATTGTTCTTTGATGTCCAAGGGCGAGCTTGCGGGGTGACCCTGGGTACTCCAGCTTGGAGACGTTGCAATCTTGTCCAGAGACGCTCTTATCATCTCCTTGCTCCACAACCCGGTTGAACTCTGATAGGCATCTCGCACCGGCGACCTGGTTATCAAGTGGTTGGGGTTTGACCCCAATGATAAGAGCTATTAGTGCACTGAGAAACACCACGCGGCGCTGGCTATCAGTGGAGGCCCGATGCAACATACCCGAAGCCATACCGAGATGTAAGAGCGCCACACGAGCTGCGTCTCGCCGCATGCCGTTTTCTCTTTCCCAAGCCGGATCCATTAAATCAAGGCCTTGTCCTCGATCCCGACATCGAGACGTTGTGGTCGCACTTCCTATGCATCAACCGACATGAATCTTAGCGGTATCGTCAGGTGGCTGCGGCTGCCCGACAGCGAGGTGGCCGAGTCCAATGTCTGGATCAACGACGACATTCGGCCCATGCCGCCGAGCCGTCGACGATGGACGTCATGGACCTTCATCTCCTTCTGGTTGACTAACCAAGTGGCCAGTAAGTGTCTCCTATGTTGTGTGGTGTCGAGAATCCGTCAACTAAGGCGCCGACAGTCTCTAACTGGCAGTTGGGAGCGTCTCTCGTCGCCGCAGGGCTCTCGGTCTGGCAGAGCGTGATTGCCATCATTGTCGGGAAAGTCATCATCGCCCTCGTTGCCATAGCCAACGGCATGGTTGGCGCTGAATGGCACATCGGATTTCCCGTGGTATCTCGCTACATTTGGGGCGTTTACGGACAGTATCTTATATTGATCCAAAGAATCATTCTTAGTCTTGTCTGGTTCTCCGTCCAATCTTGGACTGGCGGCCTGACAGTTGTCAACTGGTAGGTGAACTCGGGCTTTGCCAGGCCTTGGTAATTAATGACCACTTGACTCTAACGTGCCGTCTAGCCTGTCTGCTATCTTCCCTTCGTTCGAATCACTGGGCAACGTGTTCCCCGAGTCTTCGCATCTGACATCAAAGGGCTTCATTGGCTGGATTCTTTACAACATCCTTCTTATCCCGATTCTCTACATCAGACCCGAGCGCATCCAAAAGCTCCTTCTCGCCTTCAACGTCATCTCATCAGTCACCCTGGTGAGCATCATGATCTGGGCTTTGGCAACTGCAGGCGACGCGGGTTCTCTTGTCAGGCAAGGGTCCAAGTCCATGTCCTCGAGCGAGCTCGGGTGGCAGATTGTGCACGGAATCACCACCGTCATTGGCAGCATCGCCGTCGGCTTGACCAACCAGCCCGACTACTGTCGGTTCGCTCGCAAGCCGGGAGATCAAGTTTTCGGACAATGGTTCAGCATCATCTTCTTCGGCGCCATCTTCCCCACCTTTGGATGTCTTGCTGCGTCGGCAACTGGCGTCATTTACGGCGAACCGATCTGGAACCCGCCCTTGATCGTGCAAGCATGGCTTGACAATGACTACAACTCCAAGAGCCGCGCTGGTGCCCTTTTCGCCGGCCTTGGTCTTCTTTGCATCCAGCTCAGTATCAACTCGGTTGACAACGCCTTCTCTGCCGGCATGGACCTTGCGGGCCTGTTCAGCCAGTACATCAACATCCGACGCGGCGCTTACATTGGCCTCGTGCTGAGCATTGCTCTTTGTCCATGGGAGCTTCTATCGTCCGCATCCGTCTTCATCAGTGTTCTCTCCGCCTACAGCGTCTTCCTGGGGCCCGTGATCGGCATCCAGATTTGCGACTACTTCATCATCCGTCGCCGGAGAATTAAGCTATCAGACCTGTATCACCCCCACTCCGACGGTTCTTTCTACTACTGGAAGGGAATCAACCCGCGCACTTTCGTAGCCTGGGTATGTGGCTTTGCGACGCAGCTACCAGGGTTCGCGGCCAGCGTCACTCCTGATAGCGTCAAGGTCGGCACAGCATGGATCAACCTATACTACTTGGCATTCCCTCTTGGCTTCGCCATCTCGTTCCTCCTGCATCTGGGCATTAACACCATGTGGCCACCCCCGGAAGCTGGCGTCATCGATGATGTAGATTACTATGGAACCTTCACGGAGAGCGAAGCCAGGAAGATGGGAGTGACGCTGCTTGAGACGGAAGTTCTTGAGGGCTCCCAGAAGGTGGTTGATGTAGAGACGCCCAGTAAAGGTCCCCAGGCTTGGCTTAAGTCAGTATTGAAATAACTGTTGAGCATGGCGATGTGCTGGGTCGAATGACTACCACGAATTCTATAGTTCATGTAAATTGTCATATTCAAGACCTTGATCGGTGGGATGATTGCTGATTATTAAAATTTTACAAACAAGCTGTGTTTGACTCCGAGAGCCAACGTGTGAGATGATATCAAATACCATGATGCCAAGGCTCTTGATGCTGCTCCAAAGTGGAACTCACAGTGATTGATACTCATTCCGTATTTGCTAGAAACTGACTAATGGTCGAAATCTTGGGTATCTACAGCCCAATGTCTTCTTCCAGTCTGACGACTCGTCGCATCATAGGTATGTCGCTTCCCTTGTAAAAACAAACACTATTCTAGATATACACCAGACATCAAAGACTCGTTCTCTGATCATGTGAATACGTTCTTCATATCTTGCCCAGGACTCGCTTGACAAACGACTTCTTACTTGGTCTCGGAGGAGGCTGGTTGATGGACCGAACCTGTCGGAGCAGTCCAAGAAGAGTGGCCACAGCCAACGCCTCGGCTTCGCCATTGAGATTCCCCGAGAGCAACAATACCCCCTCGCTGTATTCGCTTGGCAGGCCACAAGCGATTCCAACATGGTGATAGACGGCATGTATGACTGGCTCGCCGTTCTCGGCAACCTCGGCCGTGTCCACGAGTGTGTATCGTAATGTTCCGAGCTCTTTTGGGAGAACTTGCCATTCGAGGTTGGAGGGCACTGTGACTGCTCCATCTGGCAACGTATGCGAGATAGTGAACCATGGGTGTCGCACTGGGATTGCACCCATGTACATCTTACTGTCTGGTACAGGAAACGAGGTCGCGACGAAAAGCTCTATGGCTTGCGCCGTGTTGAGCGAGGTGAGATGAAAGCCACGGTCGCCCTCGCGAGGTAAATGCCTGCAATGCCTTAGACCTTGTAACCAACTCAAATGCATCTTCCCCGCCTTGCACAAAACGTACATCTTGACTATCTCTCCGTTGCGGCCTAGGACTCTCCTCTCGACAGTCACGTCCGTCTTGGAGGAGCGACTCTCAAAATTGACTAGATAGCGGACGTCTGCGCCGGTGCCGTCTCCGTTTTGTCTCTTTATCATAGCCAATCTCAGCCTGTACTTGTTGCTTCCGATGAACTCTGTTTTTACGGCCTTGGCATAGGTCTCTGTTATATCGTATAGTGGGAGATGAGAGGTAACATCTTGATGCTCTGGAACGTGAATGATGCGAGAGAGATGGGCCGGGGTGGGCTTCAGATGACGCCCTAGGCTTTGATCAAGGGCTACATCAAGAGCCCCATCTGGATGACTGAGGTAGTTTCCAAACCCTGGAAGTGCAGCCATATTGGGCAATGCTGTGATGAGCATCAATGCCGAGGTCATTCTCAAGTCTACTTGGGGATTGATACCGTCATGGACAAACAGGGAAATGTATGAAGACTGTAGCTGCCTGTCTTGAAAAGGGCGATACTGATACCGGATGAGCTGACAGGGGCACGTGTCTGTTTGTAACAGGATGGCGTGAAATTAATGATGCATCGATCGGGATATCTCACAACGTAGCTTGGTTTCGTCAATAATACAGAACAGTGTGCGATATGCGATTAAATATTCGCGCGTGGAATGATGGTGACACCTTGGCAGATGCATAGTACGAGAGGAAGCTATCTTCAAAAGTTCACGATATGGACAAAAAAGGAAGAAAATTCTTCATAATCAGTGCGCTACAGGTGGATTTCTAATACGCATCACAAGTTTAGGGGGCCATATGGTTGCCGTCGCATGTGACGTCGATACGGAAGATGCTGTCTCAATAGGTAGATAAGAGCTCGCGGTTTGTAACCGACTTAAACCCAAATGGACGGTAGCGTTGCATAAGGGTCAAATGACGGGATGATCGCCAGCCGTCATACTTAGAAACCGGACTGTTGCACGATTGGAGAAAGAATATGATTTGCCCGTGGAAAATGATTTCCGTCGCGGACAGAGGGCGTCGACAGGCTATGATCACTCCCAAATATTGACACCGCACCATGCTTTGCGTGCCATGATAGTCCCGGTGTTAAGCTTATGTGAGATAGGGCCATGTGAGCATCGCCCCGCAAGATTACCAATGTGACGGTCGAAGGGAGGAAATTAAAGGTACAACACTGGACTTTAGAGAAAATGGTATAGAAGATACACTACGGTGGTCTGTATGTTGCCTACCGTGAAGAACTGGGTGAGTAATACCACTATAATATACATGTATTAGAGATGAATATCGTAGATAATAACATTCCGGTGGCACACCAAGACCATCAAAGATGTATGAATCCTTGGCGCTACAAGAATCCGCAACGTCTATAGACACACATTTTACGCATTCTATCATTTTCTCTGACTGGTTCATTGGTTGAGAGACATGCAGGAACGAAAGAAATGTAGATGTCACAATAGTCAGATGAAGTCATAGTATAATGTTGAAAATCAAGGTAATTTCGAACGTAACTAATTAACTAAGAGTTAAGCAAGGTCTTTAATGATCTATCAGTCTGGTGGACGTCGAGTTCCATAAAGTATTATCTATCATCTGTCAGATAAGGCATTATCAATAACATGGTTGTGTCAACATTATCTTGCTACTAGTCAAGATGGCATAGGATTTCGTTTCTATTAGAAGCGATTAGGGGTTTACCCCTGACAAATCCCACAAGCAAAGTCATCTATCCCAGAGGTCTCTTCTCCCTCTCTACAATACCTAAACGAGATAGCCCTGTCAACCAAACAACAAAAGGCATACCACCAGGTTATCTAAAAGTCAGTATCTCTTAACAATTAAGAACAGGAGTATTGTCCTGTTCCCTCTCTCCCACTCAACTCACAAACCAATACTACCTACCTTTTCAAGTTTATAACACTAACAATCAAGGACTTCCAACACTAACATAGCCTTTCTCTTGTGACAATCCCTCCCAGCTACTCTATCTCTTCGTCCTACCTAACTAATTCTTCCTCATATCGTTTACCAGCTTCTGTTCGTTACAAACTCCATCCACTAATGCCATATATACTTAGCCTTCTGCCCTACAAGAATGCACTAACGGTGGTCGACAATGGAAATTCCTTCTGCTGATAACAGTTTCATAAGGCGCATCTTAAATCTAGATCCTCGGGGGAGGCCGACCGTGGAGGAGGTTCTCGAGGATGATTGGTTCATAGAGAAATCAGACAATACTCGGGAACCTATACCTCCCTTCCCTACTAAGCATGAATGCGAAGGCTTCAGCATGTAAAGAACCTGGTTCCGCTGATCGTGTGGGTTAGAAAGACGAGGGATCGAAGAACCACGGATATTTTTAGATATAGGGGTCTCCAAAGCTCATCACCTGATATAACAGAATGTGACTAGAATAGACATGCGATCGTTTTATTGTCGGAGACTGAGATCCAGCGTTGCAGTCAGCCGACATGAATCTGCCGTGGCGTTGTCGGGACGACCTTCCGACATGATAAGCCATCCGATCCCGACATGTCGGCACGTGAGCACCGCACCGACGCTTGCTGTTTCCGGGCGCGGCCTCCCTGTCCAAGACCCAACTCTGGTCATCTGGCCATTGTTATCTCGTAGATCTGAACTCAATGCACCCGATGGCGGCAGGGCATTGCGAGATTTCGGTCCCATCGGTGACCCAATGGCGTCCGGATTCCCCTTTGGTGGCGGCCCTGTCTTACCCACTTCTGAAGTAATCATTAACAGCCAGATGAGCCGCAGGAACCCTTGTGACGTGGTTATAGCCGCAAATCTATACGTCAGGGCCGTATACCCCAGAGTGTACAAAGAGGCTATCGGAACGCCGATGGTGGGGTCGGCAAGTCGGAGAGATACTTCCACGATAATTTGGAGCGGCCGCGACTCAGAGTTTATGCCGTCCATAGCCGTCTAGGATAGATAAATACTTATGCTCAGGCACCCTCCCACCCGTCCGCTGAGTTTAACCACATCACGCGTATAACTCATTCACGATGTCCGCCAGACTCGTCGTGTCCAGCCAGGCGCCAGTGCCTTTCTGCAGGTCCTTACGCCTGCAAGGAGCGACGAGATATTCCAGCACCGCCGCCACCACGCCGGCGGCCAAGACTCAGACTCTACTTTCAACCACCAAGAAGTCGCCTCTATCCAGATTATCTACAGTCAGTCTGGTGCGGTCACTTGCCCTCACACAGTTCATGTCTTCACCACTGCTCATGAAGCCCGCGCTCCCTCTTCTACACTTCATCTCCAAGTCCAAGATGGCACTATTCAACCCCGACCGAAATCCCGTTCTTAAGCGTTTACTGCGATGGACCATCTACGACCACTTCTGTGCCGGCGAGAACCTGCGAGAAGTCACAAAGACCGTTTCTGATGTCAAGCGAATGGGGTATCAAGGCGTCATCCTCAACTACGCGAAGGAAATCGTCCTGGACGCTCAGGAAGCCAGCGCCGAAGGACACGCTGGTGATTACGCAGCACCCTTCTACGAGATGGTCGACTTGTGGAAGAAGGGAAACATTGAGACACTTCACATGCTGGCTCCTGGCGACTTTCTCGCCGTCAAGTAGGTTTCTTCTTCGACAATGGTTCTCCCACAATTGCCCAAACTAACACATCTCCTCAGGATTACCGGTGCTGGTCCCATTGCCGTGGATGCGATGAGAGCCCGCGCCCCTATTCCGGACGTGATTCGTAAGGCCTTGGATGAAATGTGCGACGAGGCCAAGAAGCAAGGCTCCCGTCTCTGGATCGACGCCGAACAGCAAGCCCTGCAACCTCAACTGGACGAGTGGACCATCGATCTGATGAGACACCACAACCGCAACAGCAAGCCTCTGGTTTATAACACCATCCAATCATACCTGAAGGCCTCCAAGGCCAACGCCGAACGTCACATCGCACTGGCTGCCCAGGAGGGCTGGAGCCTGGGTGTCAAACTGGTCCGCGGGGCCTACATCGAGAACGAAGTCCGCTCCCTGATCCACGACACCAAGGAAGACACCGACCGCAACTTTGACGACATCACGGACATGTTCATCAGCCAGAGACTCCCCGAGCAGGCCAAGGGCTGCGAGTTCCCCTCGAGCGCGCTCTTCCTCGCGACACACAACGCCGCCAGCTCCGCCACGGCCATCACAAACCACCGTCGGAGGCTCCTCGAGGGCCAGGCCACAACCGATCTCGAGTGCGGGCAGCTTCTCGGCATGGCGGACGAGTTGAGCTGCGAGCTGCTCGACAACTATGACTCGTGTCTGACGGACTCTGGGCTGAAGAGGGACGCGATCCCAAAGCCGTTCAAGTACCTGCCCTGGGGAACCGTTTCGGAGTGCATGGGATACCTGCACCGTCGGGCGGTGGAAAACAAGGGAGCCATCGAGCAGAGCTCGCACATGCTCGGATCTCTGAAGAGCGAGCTTCGTCGTCGGGTTTTCGGATGAGAACGCCGGGGTCTTTATTTTATGTCTTTGTTTCAAGCGATGCATGATGAATTATACCTAGATATCCCATAATGGCAGGCAAAAAAACTGAGAAATACCCAAGAGGCCACGGTTCCTGCTGCAGGATATGACTGTGAAATGAACAGAGCCCAGGATGCAAGGACCCAGCGACGTGAGCCGGGTTTTCATCGCCCAACGATCCATCCTTTTCGTCCAACTCTAGCTATGGTGCAACTGAGAATGACTGTTCCAGCGGCTCTTCTCTCATTCTTGCCTTGATCACGGAGTTCTCTGACACGCCATCCCCATAAACGCTCGACTGTTTTGCGCCAGGTATGGCGGCCCCTTGACGGAAGGCCGACTATGAACCTGGGCAGGTCACGGCCAATGACTTAAAAATAGCTGAAGGGTGCCAAGTTTCTCGTCGCAGCCTTTGATAACGCACTGGACACTAATGGCCCAATTACGATGCCGAAGACCAGCAGTTGATAGTTTTCGATCAATGAGCGGTCTAGTGCGTATGGATCGACATCCCCCTGGGTTGGATCGTCGTCACGTTCGGTTCGGACGCCTTGGCTATATTATGTCGGACTTGAGTTTGGGATTGGGTCACGTTTATTGATACACTAGAATGATCTTATGTGAGTGTTTGAACCATATCTTGTTAAAATTATTTATTCCTTACTCTGCAATGAACCATGGCAAAGTGCTCGAACCCATTCCCAGCCTAAGTTCCGGGGCTGGTAGCTCGTCTGGTGTGGCAGACGAACATGATCATCACCGCCTCCGATAAGAAGCCCAGATGTGATTGGTGTGGAAAGCATCGGGATGTCTGCCCGATCTCCACCCTGCAGGCGTCATCAGCTGCTTGGGAATGTCGGATGCGCCGCCCGACACGGGCATTGCGCAACGACTCGGTCATCCCACATCCGTATAGCAAGAGACTTTCCAGTATCTTCTCCAACGCAACCTGGCTTCTTTCGTTGGAAAAGTCTTACGCAACAAGAATCCAGGTTGTGCGGCTGTGGCATGTCAATCCGTTGGCGTTGATCCACGCATGGAATCAGCCCATGATGAATCCAGCTGATAAAACGAGTACATGCCATTCATTCATTCTCTCTATCTCTAGAGGATTCTTCAAGTCTTCTTTCAGTACCCAGCCCCTTTCGATCCTCTGCACTTCTGTTTATCATCGGATTTGCCGAAACAGTATACAGAGCAAATCGGGATGCACAGCGGTCATCTCTCGTAGTCTATGCTACACCCGGCTTGGCCGTCCACAACTCCAGAGCCGGAACTTGTCTATGACAAACTGCTCCCCGGAACCAAGTGGTCTCGTGCTCGGCCAACCCCCTGATGTTCAGAGATGGCTCTGTAGGCCTACGATTCGCACCGCTGTCGATCTTCCCCGCGAATGACGCGTATCTCGTGTCAAACGCGATACCCACCAATACTAACCCTGGAGTTAAGTTACTTTAGGGGAAGTCTCAACTTTGTGGGGTAAAACGCAGGCTTGCAACCCCCCCGAGTGATAACGACTGGAGTTGCAATATTGGCTTGTCGGCTACCTTCGGCGAGTAATTCTACCCCAGACAGACACCATGTCCGATAAGCCTGCCACCAAGAACGCTAGTGCCTCTGGAGCCTCTGTGCCGAGGTCGGTTCCCCCTAGCTTTGCCCATTCCATAAAGATGATAGGGCCCGCACGCATAGAAGTTATCGGAACGCTGCTCCGACATATCGATACTCAGACTCAACGCGATAACCTGTAACACCTCACCGAGGGAACGATATGAAGTTTTCGACCCGGCCGCGCGAGACCAGTTCGCCATGCCGCAACTAAGCCAAGGGCAATACAAAGTGACCAAAAAGTGCCAAAAAGCGTGCGTGCGTGCGTGCGGGCGGGGGTGTTCCGCCCCTCGTCCATTCCGACAGAACATGAACAAGAAAATGAGGTCCAGTTAACTGACATTATTTTATCTTTCCGGGCAAAAGATGCGAAAGATGTCGGGTGATGAAAGTCAAGTGCTCCGGCTCTCAGCCTTGCGCCCGTTGCGATAGGAAAAAGCACCGGTGCATCTTCGCCGCCGAGGACAAGCGGGTGTCGGTGTCGGAAAGGTGAGTTGTCGGAACCCCCCTCCCGACAACGATTGCTTCTCAGCGCGCGCGGCGGTGATGGTGAAGAAGCTGAATCCGTCCCGCAGTTACCTACGTGAACTTCAGAACCGGAATACCGAGCCGGGTTCTGACCGGTCAACGAGGGCTTTGAGTCGGGGGGTCGATGTTGAGGTTGAGGATGTGCAGAGCCGTGCATACGCGACGCCGCTTCACACTTCCACAGGCCGCAGTGAAGAAACGACGAACCAGCTGGAAACGCCAGGCAATGGTAACAATCACCAAATATCCAAACCGCACATCAACAGAACCCCCCCGACTCACAGGTTGTTAGTAGACAGTCCAGCCCTAGGTGGTCCTGCCCCGTCAGACCCTGATAGTGAGGTGGACGACGGTCCTTCAACCCACAGAGATGAGGGCGAGATCGGACCGGGATTTTGGCAGAATCCCCTTGTCGACAACGACTACACATTCGCAAAAGTGGGCGACCGGTATTGTGAGTAGAGACCGTCTCCCGTGGTCGGACAAGGACGTGCTGTGCTGATTCGGAGCTCGGTAGGGTACATGGGCCCGACCTCTTCGTGGTCTTTTTCCCGCAGAGTCCTGGCCCTGCTCGGGAAACGCATGCCGGACGCCGCCCCGGACCCGTGGCATCTGCCGCACGAGGGCGCCTTCAGGATGCAGTGGACGCCCCTGGGCGCCGCCGAGACCCCCGACGTGTCCAATCTCCCGCCGCTCGACTACGCCATGTATCTGCTGAACACGGCAAAGTTCTACCTCGGCGCCGTCTTCTATCTCATCGACGAGCCGTCCTTCGTGAGGCACATGCGCGAGCTGTACGAGGACCCGGTCGGGAAGGCCAGCTCCTCGAGGCTGTGGTACGCCCAGTACCTGCTCATCCTGGCGTTCGGCAAGGCCTTTGTCGTCAGCAGCGGTCCGCAGGCGACGGCCCCTCCCGGGGTCCAGTACGCGACGCGGGCCATGGCACTGCTCCCCGACTTATCCGGTCTCAGCCCGGATTCCATCCATGCCATCCAAGCCCTTGCGCTGGCGGCATTGTACTTCCAGTGCTTGGACATGAGGTTGGCAGCGTATCAACATGTAGGAAGACCCTTCACTCACCCCCCACCCCCTTCTTATGATAGTCCAGACCCTCGAGCGGACGGGCTGACACAGTCGCAGATCGGACAGGCACTGCGCATCGGCATCGTCGAAGGCATCTACAGACACATGCCCGAAGACGTAGTAGGCGCCGACTACTCGAGGCGCTGCAACATTGTGTTCTGGGTAGTGTACACCCTTGACAGAGAATTTTCCGCCCTCATGGGGGCGCCGACATCGATCCGGGACGAGGACATCACTGTCAAGCTGCCCTCGAATGGGGACAGCTCCCTGGATGCGCTGAACATGACCCTGCATGTCCGGCTCTCGCGCTTGATGGCACGCATTCTCACGAGTAGGTTCTCCCTAGTGACGATCCCTCTCCGCCTCTTTATTATGGCTTCACTAACCCCGCGCCTCAGCCGTGTATGGTGTTGGCAAGGAGTTTGATGGCTCGCTTGTCCCAAACACCCAGTCTATCCTCCGGGACCTTGCGCGTCTATCCCGAGACCTTACGGCATTGCTCGACACTCACTTCCAAGGGTCTGTCAGCAGGGCATCGAGGATGGCATTACGGCTCATCCTCTCTTACCATCACGTAAGTCCACAGCCGCTCAAGGAGCAATCGCAATTGACTAGCTAACATTGGTAGTGCGTGGTGCTGACAACGCGTCCACTGGTCATGTGCGCTCTCCACATGCACATCGAACACTCGGACATGCGGCAGTCCCATACCGTCACCCTGACGCCCCCCGTCGCCTCCCTGCTGCAGTCGTGCGTCGACTCGGCGCAGACGGTGCTCAGGACCCTCCGCGTCCTCGGCGACGAAGACCTCCTCGAGGCCTTCCTGCCTTTCCAGCTCGAAGACGCCTTCTCCTCGGCCTTTCTCCTCCACCTCATCCGGGTCATCAGCCCGTCTCTCATACAAGACGACACCTGGTGCGAGAACGTCACGAACGTGCTGGACAAGATGATTTCAAAGGGGAGTCTGGTCGCGCCGCTGCGGAAGCTGGAACTCAGCCAGCTCGAGCACATCATGTCGGCCCTGACGCCGCCCGCGGAGGAGCCGCCGACGCCGCCGCCGAGCAGCGCGAACCCGCACCATCATCACCACGGACACGAGCATGGGTCGTTTCTGGACCAGATGGAGGAGGCGGGGTGGGACATATTCGATACGGGGTGCATGGGCGGTCTTTCGCCGCAGGCGTTGTTGGATCTGGCGGAGCGGCTGGACGTGGAGGATCTGATTCAGTCTGTCGATTCCGAGGAGGTTCACAGAAGATGAAATGAGGTCTGGCTAAGCGAGGACGGCCGTCGTGTACGATAAACGCCGCTGCGTTCATGCATTTCACGAGTTCATTCTAGGTACTCAACTGAGGCCCCTCGTGGACAAAGCTACAAAGACTCTCGCACGGCAGACTTGAACTATATCACGCATCGACATTAGCGTCTCACTGCGAAGCAAACTCGTTGCAACCCGAGCATGGGTCATTGGCTTACCGGAATGACCTGGGCCTTCTCGAGATCCCACACATCGCTCTTGGCATAAATGTCGTCCCTGATGAGCTCCCAAGCCTCTTCGGCATCCTTGGCAGTGTAGATGATGACGCTGCCCTTGAAGCTAGGTGTCTTTCCTTCGGTTGGGTGCTCTTCAAACATGGCGCCTGCATTCATACACCGTCCCCATCAGACTGACAGCTTCATGTGAGAGGGGGAGGATTGAGAGGACGTACCGCCGAGAGCTATCTTTCCATTGCCCGCATTAGTCTGAGCACCGGCCAGATGCGTGCTTCATCGTGTCAGCCTCATCATCACAGTGCTTCATTGTTCTCAACGGCAGGTAGGGAGTCTACTCACGCCCTGACCTCCAACCGCCGCGCGAGCGCGTCCGGCTTATCCGGGAGGATGCACAGGAACTCCTTTGCGCTGGTGGCCATCGTGCGGTATCTGAGACTGAACGGCGAGGTCTGGCTGGCGGTGCGGGGTAGGTTTCTAGCGGCGGGGATGAATCTGTTCCTCAAGACTCGTGTGGGGATGGACATTGTGGACATGGATGGGACAAAGGGACCGCGCAGGCCCTCGAATGCTTCCTGGGGCGTATTGATTACACCGTCATGTGACCGGATCGTACACGAGCGGAGCGGAGGGAGCAGCACGACATCGGAGGGGGGAGAGATGAAGCACGGAGCTCGATCGAGTAGTTCCGATGCCGGAATAGAGTGCCGAGAGTAGCCGGCAGGGCATCTGTGGCTGGAGTTCCGCTTAACAATCAATCCTCTACTTTATGGTTATGCCACCAAAAGCTCGTATGCACTTAGTTCAAGAAGAATAGGCTTGTTTAACAAGCGAGGCTTTTTACCGCAATCACCGTCTGAGATACCCAAGACCGCCGTCAGAAAGAAATGTAATAAAAAATAAAATAAAAATAAAAAGGAGAAAGGTTAGGTCGTGCCCGGGCTCGAACCGGGGTTGCCGGAAGACATTTGATAGCAAGTGATCAAAATCCGGCTCGATGGAAGTCAGTACGTGATGAATGCCAGAGCGCTTCAACGAGAACCTACAGTGATAACCACTACACTACACAACCACTTGTGTGTGTGTGCTCGCAGAGCGGAGGCACGCGATGCCCCGAGTATGTTCGAATCCACCTTAAGACTGATAGTCCCGCACGATTACCTCGGCTTTTCTCAGATACGTCTTACCCCCGGGTCGGCAGGGATACGAAGAAGGCCACACACCATCTGAAACAAAACGATCATGATTGGATCCTCCAATGTTTCGGTGGTAAGCTTGTCTTGGGTTACATATATCCGTACATGACCGTTGTTATTCAAGATAGGTCTATACAATTACTAGCTGTGCATCACTTAAACAATGCCATTCTGTAATGTCGTGTCCACGGTAAACTGATACTCAGTCCGTCCGTGCAACGCAATGCTCTTGTTGCCATACATAAACTGCCCTTTCGTGTCCATAGGAGCGCTAATGGTGACCCCGATCTTATCACCATCCTTCCGCCACTCGACGCTGAGCTCCCCACCAAACGCGGTGACGACGCTCGCGCTCGCCCTCTTCAGCCCCAATGCCACCCCGGATGCCGGTGCCACAACCCAGTTCCTGTAGCCGAACCCGTCGGTCCCCTCGACGGCCCGCAGGCCCGCCGCCCATTCCGTCAAGACATACGTCGGGGAGCCGCCCCAAGGGTGGCCGAGGCTCGTGAACAGGCCCAGGCCGGGCTCCAGCGTCGCGGCGTTGACGTACTCCCAGCTCGCGCCGACGGCGCTCTTGTTCTGCGCCTCGCTGGCGCCCGGGAGCATCGCGCCCCAGAGGCTCCGCATCAGCTCGTCGGCCGCCTGCGTGGCGTTGCCTACGAAGAGCGCCGAGAGGAGGAACCCATTGGTGTTGGGCGAGATGTTGACGCTGCTGTCGTTGGACGGCACGGTCGAGGCGTCTTTGTAGCCCGGGCCGAGCTTGAGGCCGGACAGCAACGCAGCGATGGAGCGGGCGGCGCGGTTCGCGTCCGCCACGCCCGAAGTGATGCAGAACGAGGTCGCCGCCACGGAGATATTGCTCATGTCCGCCAGCGAGAGACCGTACGCGCCGACGTCGTCGTTCCACAACTTCTCGTTGATGGCGTCCGCCAACGAGCTTGCAGCCTCGCGATATCGCGTCGCGGACGCCGTGTCGTCGAGGGCAGCGGCCACGTCCGCCACGCCCTTGAGGGCCTGGACGGCCTCGCACCCGATCGCGGACCCCGCGTCCGCCGGCCCGGTGAAGGCAAACCCGCCCGGGAACGTCAACAACCCCGTCGTCGAGTTGATTTGCGGCAGAAGCCAGTCGACCACCCTCTGCCACTGCGGCCACGTCGCACTCGCCCACGCGAGGTCGTTGTGCAGCCGCACGTGGTTGCTGAATGCCATCAGCCCCAGGAGCTGGTAGTCCTGCAACCCGAACGCGCCGCCGCCTTGCGGCCCCAGCGCGTCCGCGGCAGACGCCAGATCGTACCCGAGGTTGGGGCTGATGTTCATCTGGCCGTTGGCGATCTGCGAATCGATCAGGAGCTGCAGCGTTCCGCGCGAATGGTCCGCCCGCGACGTGCTGGCGGCGATGATGCGCGTGGTGTGGTAGAAGTCGCCGAGCCAGATGAGCCTGTCGCGCTTGGGCCCATCGACGCACGCACTGTCGGTGTTTGCCTGGGTTCCGTACTCGACGAGGACGTCCGGGGTGGTGAGGTTGTTGGCGTAAATAGTCGAGCCGTTGACGGTGTCGTAGACGTGCGCGTTTTTGAAGTAGGCTGCTTGGTCCTGGTACGCGCCGAAGCCGATGGAGCCGGTGAAGTCGGGAGAGCCTGCGTACACCAGGGTGCCGCTGGTGAGTGCCCACGGATAGTCGGATCGCGAGATATTGAACACCTGCGTGTCGTCGATGGAGACGGCAAGGTGACCCGAGGGAGCCATGGATGCCTTGATGTGGTACCATGTGTTTTCCTTCACGTTGAATGGAACCTTGAAAACGTCGAGCAGGAACGTTGACAGTGATGTCTGGTTCACAAAGTCGGCTCCGTAGGCCAGCGAGATGGTGTTGGCCGGCGTCAATGTCGTGTTGGTGTTGGCGAAGCGAGTGGTCTCGGGGAGCTCACTGGTCAGCAGCATCATGTATCCGTTGCCGGCCACAACACCTCCCTAGGCGTCGCGCTTAGTTGCACAGTCTTGCGGATTATATGGGAGAAAGAGGGTTGGGTCTTACAGTCATGAACCAGCTTCCGCCTTTTTCGATCTTGGTGTCGAACTCCAGTGTGTAATTGCTCCAAGACGTGCCCTTATACGTCGCGGCTGGCCGCGTGCTGCGGGCCAACACGCCGTCTTCCTCGCTCACTTGCCATGTGGCTTTCTGCGTGCCCTTGTCGAAGCACGCCGCCGTCGCCGCTCTGGCGCCGAGCTTCCAAATCTCATTCAAGGTCTCGTCATCGCTGTCAAACTGCCCAGGGAGATCTTCCGGCTCGGCCGTGTCAATGGTAGCAACGAAGCCTACACTCGAGATTTCCACCGTGCCGTTGGTCAAGAGCCTGATGGACTGCCACTTCTGGCCTCCTTGGAGCAGCGGAGATGCAAGCCGGCCGGTGGCCGCGACGTCGAACGTCTCGACGCGGAAGTTGTTGCTGAGCATGTTGGTGAATGTGAACGGCCCGTCGCTGAAGGGATGGTTCAGCCCGTCAAAGTGCTCCGTGTACTTGACTTCGATTTGCGCCGGGGCACTGAGGGAGGTGACGTCGAAGATCGGATAGCCTGCCCTCTCAGCTCCATAGTCAAGGGTGGCTACCGGGGTGTCTGGGCTGAGCGTGAAAGGTGAGAAGGGTTGAGTCTGCAACTGGACAGCGTTGCCAGTGGCTACGCCTTTCGGGGTAAAGATACTGTACGAAAGAAACATTAGACTCCATAATCGATTTCTAGTGCTAGGAAGCGGGTGGGACAGGTCCTCCTACTTGGCATTGGTTGAATCACTTGTCGGTAAAGCTATCACAGATCCGATTGCAAACACTAGCAAGAGGGAGAGAGCCTCCATGACAGGCGTTACACTGACGGTTGGGCCTATGAAATATGGAAAGACATATCCAGAAGTCAAATAGTCAACCGGCAGCCCAGCCTTCGGTACTTATATGAAGAAGATCTCGGTCGTAGTGAGCCCGATCCCCTTGGGAGTGGGGCGTCCTCAAACTATTCTTTAGCAGTATTCGGGCTATTAGTCGCCGACTAGTCTTGCAAAGTGACGAGAATTTGAGATGACTCTCCAGGGGTGCGTTCCGAAGAGGGGAGACAGAGTAGCATTACCCCAGACAAGGCATACCCGGCCTGTGGGGGAAACGCGGGGAAACACATTCGGAACTCGAAAGAAACCACACTTCCCGAGCCGAACCGACGAGGTCGGAACACTTACATCAACTTCCTCGGCGAATGGGTGACGTGGGTCTGGAGAAAAAACCAGCTTGTCTTCTCGATGATTATTGCCAGCACTCGCCAAGCAAGCGCTAGGTTTGGTGCATGGCAAAGTAGGTGTTTGTTCAAACTCCTCACTGACGTCTTCCCATGTGCCCCTGCCAGGCAAAGTCAAACGACAAATCAAAGTTCATATTGCGCGCATTAGGTATCATTAAAAAACTATTACCATCCATATCTCCGGGCCAAAGCTTGTTCACGTTGGCCACCCGGACACTACCTATGTACCTAACCCTACTTGTCATTCTTCTTCTCGTCTAGGCAGATGCACAGGGCACACATGAGGGCCATGTCGACCCCAGGCGCCACGGTGAGGGCGTAGGTTTGTTTGCCCCCAAACATGTCGCGCGCACGCAACATGTTCCTGTCGATCCTGCCTAGAATCTGGCCAGTGCTCGTATCGACAATGTCGGCCTGTGTCGACAGCCAGTTGCCCTTCATCTCGAGAGTTTCGCTCTTGCCGGTGTGGGGGGACACAAAAGTCGCTGTCGCCTTGGATCCTATGACTACATGCCGTCAGCTACCTAGTCTACCCCTGAACAACGTTTAAACGGCAAACACTCACGCGCGAGGCTGCTCTTGACTTCCATAATCTTGTTGCCCTGCGGGTCCTGCGCCGCGAAGGTGGTGTGCAGGTGGAGATGCTCCTTAACGATGTCGAAGAGGTGGTTCCCTGACATGTCGTAGACGGACTTGCGACCCGAGATGGACAATGCTTTACCCTCCACCCGGAGGATGGGCTGCCCGTTTGCGAGCTTGATATCGAAGCTGTCGCCGGTGAGGGACAGCATCTTTTCCTTGAGGATGAGGGTCTCATTTGTTTTCGCCGTCAATTGTGGAAAGATGCCGACAGCATTGTTAGCCTGGGGTAGCTGGTGCACTGCTTGTGCGGCCGCCATCTTGACACTAGGGATATCTGTAGCTGTGATCGTTTGGTAGCTTGGTTGCTTTGTTCCGCGAATTATGCCTTCCAAGTTGTTGGTAGAGATGCAGTTGGCTGTGGGTACGCTGCTGTAGCAAAGCCTAGAAAATAGGGATGGGGTAATGAAGAACAGAAGACGACGATAATTGGGGATTTCGGCTGTTTTAAGTGAGATACATGTACATGTGAAATACGAGACCTGCTCTGAAGATCACGCCTATCAAATCGGCTCAAAGTCCGAACTTCAGCCTACCCAACGTACGTATGCGGCTGAGCAAAGTGCGGGAGGCTTTGTCGCAGCGCCACTGGTCAGCTCTTTGCAGGCTTCAGCATAGAGAGGGAGGCGTCACAAGTGAGAAGTGACGAGGGACTGAGCGTTGGGAGATCCAAGTCAGCACATACTCGCGGTGACGTCAAAGGATGCACCTGTGCACTGAGACCGAACGCTCGGGGGGGATTGGGTACATTTTCTGCTGTTGACATATTCAAGAAACGGAATGGGAAAAGTCTCAAGCTAATTTGCCATGATCTAGGTACGGGTCCAAGTGACCAAGCACTTTTGCGTAAAACGTTCATCTCTCTGTTTCAATTCATGATCTCTTACTTGTAGAGGCTTTATCCTTCCCTGCCCGCCAACCTTCGCACTGTTCACCCAAGTACCTATAGCAGTTGAAAGGGACTCTGGAAGCCTTGGCTTATAGGATTGTTACGGTATCCCATGCTGGTGTGTTTCTATCTGGAAACCTTCATTGTGGTGTTACTCATCGGGCATGATGCTTATAAAGACTGTACTTGAGTAATACTGCGTAGCGTTGCGACCTTGAGGAAACGCCTCGGCTACACAGTTCATCATTCTGTCTCGCCAAAGACAAGACTTTCAGCTAAGGCTTACTTGCGGAGAAGCTAGGACGCTTAACGCCAAACGCCGAGTACCTACTCCGTACACGTGAGAGACTTCATGATGCACAGCCATATATCAATGTGGCTGTGTACTCCAGCCACTCGCCACCTATCGTCATCTCGCAGATGACGTGCCTGTTTACGCCTCGGTGGATCTGCATCTCCGTAGCTAGAGGCCGCCGAAACAACTGACTTTGCGGAAATGTCAACCAAACATCGCGACTATAACTTACTATGAGTCCTGGTAGCGGAACGAGCTTCATGTTAACCGCGAACCTTCAATTCGAGGTCGGCCTGCACTATGCTTTCTCAAGCCACTCTTGGATCTTCTAATGGCCTTGGGATAAATAACCGTTGATCTTGATAGTCTCATTCATTTCGTCGTGGCCTTGAACTATTCATCGTAGTTGGGTTAGTTGCATGCAGATGTTCAATTGTTCATCGATATTGAGCAGATGTGCAGCTCAACAACAGAAGGCCCGCTCTTCACATTATCACCGTCGCATCAATTGAACTAGCCTTGTTTGAAAATGTAGTCGTAGTAGCGATACATGACGTTATACTAGGTTAAAGAAGAATCTATTAAACAACACTTGCGCTAGGAGTTTAAGGGAACATTTGTAAGCTATAGTTGCAAGAACAGCCTCTTGCCGCTAAATCACCAACAACAACTATCGAATTTCTTGATGATTCTCCAGAACTGCACCCTTGACGTTGTGCGGTAAATTGACTGACAAGCAGCTGACATAATAATGTAAAAAGCGTGTATAGGTCAACTGACCCGCCAAACACACTGCGTCTAACCGAGGTTTCTCCCGTTTTGACAGTACCAACTATCATGTCCACAAGAGTCGGAATTCTCTTATAAAAGGCTTAGTGTGGCCCATACGACCGGCAGGCGGTCTTCTTGGCCGCTACAAGTGGACCGCGGACTTCTTCCCGGGGTTCAACAGCGAGGTGGTGACCGGACTTGGGTGTTCGTCCTACTCCTAGAAGCCTAGGTTGGAATCCTGATATGTGACCATAACCCTGCAGGCTCGAAGGTCTCGAACGGTCACTCCCAGCGGCCACAGGCTCGTGGCGTGTTCAAAGGCTACTTTTTCAGTTGAAGTATCCGTACTGTGACTGGCCATGACCCTTGCATGGCAGCTCTCACCATAGACTCCCGAGAGGATTGCCGATGCTTGGCAGCCGAGATAACGCCGATGACAGTCCCCAAACCAGTAACTCTAACGATGTCGTCGCCCACGTATTAACTAATCCAGTTCGTACGGTGACAACCGGCACGTCTGACGACATAGTCACTGGCATGCGGCTTATTATCAGCGGCAAGGAGTGTCAACTTTAGACTGCAGAGAGACAACTCTGTCACGATCCTAGCGCGGAGCAACACTCCCACTTACGGCACCGCGCAGAAGCTCCAACGATGCGGAGCCTGTCACCGGGCTCAACCAGTGTGGAGATGTCATTGAGCCTCAATTGGGATAGCCCCTCGCTTGAGGGGAGTCAGGCTTTGACAAACTCACCGCACTGCGCTATTCTTGGTGGATCCAATCGCCCTTCTCCATGGACCAACACAAGAAGCATAGACGATATTGCAGACTTAGTGCACTTCATGGTCCACAAGTTACCACAAGTGTTCTCTCAGAATCAACATGACCGCCCATGCCTTTATATGCTGTTGGTTATTGCTGAAAATGAACTACGTCTCTCAGTATGGCGATACGGCTTCGAAAGAATTGACCCGATCACACTTGGGTAAGCCTTTTTCCAAGCTAGCGCTTCCAACTGCCATAGATGATGATACGCCAAGCAAGTCCAGCAGCGCGGACCCTTGTCTGCAACGCGAGATCCCCACACCCCGATCCTGCGCTGATTGGCATGATTCCATGTCGATATTGCCTGCCCGCCCCTCGTCGCCCAGAGGCCAAGCCACAGAAAGCAGCTACGGCATTGTCTCTATCACGTACATTTTGTTGCGCACAGTCTCGGCAACTGTGGAACCTCTGGGGTTGGATAATTTCCCTGGGGTAATGGGGTTGACCAGACTATCCGGGGACCAGCTTTTGGCTCGCGTCTGACCGCACAAGATCCCATTCTGGTACGATAGTTCCGGCTCATCCTCGTGTCCGCATCCCACTCCGGGGGCAGCCGCGGGCCATAAGTTTAAAGAGTCTCACCGTCACTTTGAGCCTTTTCACGCTTGAAGCACCCTCACCCTCTTTCCTCTCGAACTCCCCGCAACACTACCACTTCCGCCCCTCGAGGAATGCTGTATCCATGAGCGCCTCAGTCAAGCAACCGACGGCCAACGAGGCCAAGTCCGTTGGCCAGGAGCTGGCCAGCGTCCTCCCCAACGATGGCATCCGCTGGTGGAAGAAGAAACACCTCCTCAAGCTCAACTTCTGCATCTTGTCTTTTATGCTCTTCACCAGCTCCAACGGCTTCGATGGCTCCATCATGAACGGCTTCCTTGCTCTGCCTCAGTGGCGTGAGTTCATGGGCAACCCCACCGGTGCCTGGCTCGGCTTCATCAACGCCATGTACTCCCTCGGCGCCGTAGTCGGGTTTCCCCTCTGCGCCATGCTCTGCAACCGTTGGGGCCGCAAGCTCGGCCTCTGGCTCAGCGTCGCCTTTGCTATGGGTGGCACCGTTCTGCAGACGGCCGCGCCCAACGTTGCGTCCTTCATCGTCGCCCGTTTCTTCATGGGCGTCTCGCAGGGCCTTTCTGTCGGGGCTCCGCTCCTGATTGCCGAAAACGCCTTCCCCACGCACCGCGGTATCGCCTCCAGTATTTACAACTCAGGGTGGTACATCGGAGCGATCGTCGCCGCTTGGGCGGTAAAAACTTTTCCCCGACCCGGAATTAGTAGTCTTAATGGCTGATTTCCACGTTGACAGACTTTCGGTACGAGAAACATGGAAGGCAATATTTCGTGGCAAATCCCCTCCGGGCTGATGGCATTGCTGCCGCTCATGACAGTCCCATCACTCTTCATGATGGACGAATCTCCCCGTTGGCTCGTCTCAATGGACAGAGCCGACGAGGCACGTGTCAATCTCGCTAGAGCCCATTGCGGTGGTGACATCAATCATCCTCTGATCGCATTCGAGATGGCCGAGATTGAGGAGACCTTAAGGGCCGAGAAGGAGGCCAACGAGAAGACCTCTTGGGCTGATTTGTGGTCCAAGCCCGGAAACCGTCACCGTCTCTGGATTTGTGTATCTCTGGGCATATACGCGCAGTGGTCAGGTGAGAAAGTTTTGATTGTAAGCGTGATTTGTTCAGTCGACTCACAACCCCCTTCCAGGAAACGGCGTCGTCAGCTACTATCTCGCAATCATCCTTGAATCTGTTGGCATCACATCTGTCACCGACCAGACGCTCATCTCGGCCTGCCTCCAGATTTGGAACCTTATCTGGTCTGTTGCTGCCTCTGTCTGCGTCGATAGGGTCGGCCGTAAAGCCCTCTTCATGACGAGCGGCGTTATCATGTTGATATCGTACATCATCGTCACCGGCCTGTCGGGCAGCTTCGACGCAACCAAGCATGGCCCTACTGGACTCGCAGTGGTTCCTTTCCTATTCATGTAGGTGTCACTGATTCTTGAGTCCTCTGTTTCCGTCAAATGAACTAACACAGGATTCCCTAGCTATTTCCTCGGCTATGATATTGCCCTTACACCACTCGTCATATCGTACCCAGTTGAAATCTGGCCGTATCAGCTGCGAGCCCGCGGACTCGCTATTTCCCAGATGGTGTCACTTGGCGCCATCTTCTTCAACACCTTTATTAACCCCATCGCCCTCGACGCCATTCAGTGGAAGTATTATTTCGTGTTCGTTGTCATATTGGTTGCCATGCTATTCTCGGTTTGGTTCACGTACCCCGAAACGCGCGGCCGCACGCTCGAAAACATCTCCTGGCTGTTCGACGGCGAAGGCGCCAACGCTGCCATTATCATGGCCGCAGACACTTTGAAGAGGGAAAACATACACATCGAGGATTCCTCCCCGAAAGATTCTCAATCTCAAACCGAGGAGAGGCGTGCGTAAGTGTTATTGGTCGCTGCGCTATAGGGGTGGACAAGACAGCAGCTCTACCCTGGCTGTACAGCGAACGCTGCAGCAAACCGCATACGCTAGTTTTAGAGTTGTTGGAATTGATTATAGAAATGGTAAAAGCCTGGGCTTGCCAAGGTCTGCGAGTTACGTCGACCAACTGCGTCAATGCCCAGAATCTCACCCTCCAAGACTGATAGGTTTCAGATGTAATACCTTTGATTTTCGAATCAACCTATGATCGTCTTTAAATCCCGCTCTCGCTTATTCGGAAACACCTCTTAGGTCTATTCCCTCGTAGCTTCGGCAAATTCTCAACTTTCATGTTTCTTGTATCCTCCCAGCTTTCTATGTCCAACTCAAAATGTGCGGCCGAGAGGCTGATTGTATTCCGTTCCCGCGCATTCTCCCGATTGTTTCATGTTTTCTCATTGCTACACACGAGTGCTTCTGGGCCCTTTCTCTGTGACGATTCAAACAGTGAAAGGACGGAACTCCATCTATAGGCCTCAGAAAAGCACATACTTGAAGTGGCATTATGCATGCACCTTGCCATAGGGTTTGAGTATGTATATGGTATGGTATCGAGGTTGATGGCGAGAGATGTGGAGGGTAAGGAGGTCAGTGTCTGCAGGGCGTCAGCACCAGCTGACGGGGGATGTGGGTAAGCGGCATGTGTGATGGTTAATAGACATATGTAAGTGGAAATGAGAGTCACGTCAATGATGCACTTGTCGAGCCTGGCTGAATTTGTCACATAGCCAGGCAGCTACACCAAGTACTCACCCGATTGTACAATTTTCATGTCAATGAAGGGCAGTTGTAGATGTCAAGCGGGGTAGTAGCTTCCTTCCAAAATTCAGAAGCAGCGCATAATATGTATATCTGTTGTCCTCCTGCTTGCAAGTTAAACAGAGAGCAGGGTATGTACCACTGTCGGCTGTAGGCTAGAGATACGCATGTTAGCAGAGGTTCATTTCTTGAGCAAGGGCAGAAGGCATGAGATGCTAGCGGACGGAGGTGTTCCACTGCAGAAGTGCAATAAAATCCTTTCAAGTCTCGCAGAGGGTCTTTTGAATGTAGCTATGTGCGCCCAGCCAAGACTGGTGCATGAATTCATTATCTGCAGTAGAAAGTAATTACAAAAGGAAGATTAGACCCAGATGTCTTCAGAATATAAACCTCAATCCGTTCAGCTCGTTCATCCCCCGCGCACCATTCCCCAGAAGCCCCTTGCAATGCTTTTCATTAATATCTGACCCTTATTTTTATCTACCTAGACTTTTGCATGAGTGACGTGATGGCTTAGCCGATGTAGCTGACAGTAACGGTGCTGCCGCTGCTGGAGGCCTGAGTAAGGTAAGTTTTGCCGCCGTTGGGCGAGATGTCGAAGATTTCGGCACCGGAAGGGGTGATCGAGCCACCGGAGCCGGAGGCGGTAGCACCCGTGAACTCGATGGTGCCGAAGTCGGCGAGGGTGACCTGTTTGCCGCCCTCCTGGAAAGCCTCGACAATCCACTCGGCGTTGGTCTCGCAGAGAGTGGAGGGCGTGCTGGTGAAAGTGTGGGTGACCTTCTTGCCGGTGGTCAGGTTATGGAGAGTAGCGACGCCCTTCTTCGTAGAGGACGCGTCGACGGTCATCTGGATCTGGTCGCCGACGCTGACGTCGAAGTTGTCGAAGCTGTAGGCGTTGTCGGGGATCCACTCGTACCAGGCGTCAAAGGTGCCGTCGGCGTAGAGCGAGATGCCGGTCTGGAGAATGGCGGTCTCGCAGGTGTCGCCGTCAATGCCGACCCAGGCGGAGGCGGCGTCGCCACTGTTGCCGCTGACCTCGGGGACCGTGATGGTGCCGGTGACGTGGTTGTAGCCGTTTCCGATCTGGACGGCGCCAGACCAGTTGCTGGAGTAATGGGCGTTCTTGACGCCAGTGGAGTTGAGAGTGAGGGATTCAACCGACTCGGCGGAAAGCCTCCTGTTGGGAGCAGAACTGTGTCTGGCGCGGGCAGAACGAGGAACCAGGGGGGAGTAGTCGCGCTGGACGAGCTTGGTGCCAGGGGCGGCGGCGACGATGCCAGCAGCGGCGAGGGCGAAAGCGGAGAACTTCATCTTGATTGGAAGGTTGGGGAGGAAAACTGTGATAGAGTTCTAGTTGGCTGGGCTTTGGGGATTGATGCTGGAGATGCTGGCGATGCTGAGTGGAATTCCTGTGTCTTGTCACTGGGGCTCGGCCATCTTTATAGTCGTTTGAGACGCATTCGGCGTGGTCACCAGTCGGCGGTTCTCCTTCATCTTCATCGCATCAACATTGAAGACGCTATACTCCTAATCGCAGGTCGGTCGATATCACGATGCCGTCTTGCCGGTGAGGCTTTGGATCATGAGCAAAGCCCCAATCAAGTGGCATGGAGATGGGTCACTGGCTCGGTTCCATACTCATGTTTGGCCAACCTCCTCCCTAATCGGGAAACATGGTGAAGTTATTGCTGTGAGCATTGGTCAGAGGGTCCATATCTGCATACTACATTCCTCTTCAAGCTTGTCTTACTGTACAGGACCATCCTTTTTCGTAGCTCAAGTGCCGATTGACTTTGGGGCAGTGGGGATTATTGACCGGAGGATGAGGCGAATTGTCGATTGGCAATTAGGCTGTTGGCTGGGGACTTGGCGCTAAGCTGCCAAGACTGGGGTTCGCCCATGGCTGAGGTCCCGGTTGGGGTGATGGGCATTGCTCACAATCTCGGATAGAGGTACGCATTGAGAAAGGTGCGTTGCGTTTTCTCCGCCATAGGGTTCGCGCGAGGGACGGCACCGTAGCACTCCCGCCGGCTATCCGGCACCGTCGCATCCACTCTGGTGGTAATGAGATGACCCATGAATCGTGATGGACCGAGGTAGTCAGTCACCTACTACTCCGTACTAACGGAAGAATTGCCAATACTTCTAGCACTGAATACTCTCTCCAAACACAGTGATCTCAATAGTGCGCAGGCGAGAGAGCAGTAATAAGTACGGTTCTGGACCTGCATTCATCCTTTATTGAGATCGAGAGTTAAGCCCTCGACTTGCTTGCTTCCGATTACAACGCGATAGTTACGTCACAAATGAAAACGTCGTCTTGATCCGTAAAACTTTTCGACTGCATTATCTGATTCATATCTGCCATCCTATCCGGAGTACAGAGTACTCTGTACTTCGGTCTATATTGTTGAGGGTAGCAATATTGCCGCTGCTATCAAGCGATCAGACAAGCTGATAATGCCCCCCCCTTGACAACCCGAGAGTACCGTGCGCGCTGGCCCGTGCAGGCTTGAGTTGACAATGGATACAGTTATAGCCAATAGATAAGGGTATAGATAGAGGGGAAAAGGGGAAACAGAGGCAAAAAACGGAGGTAAAAAACAGAGGCAAAAAGGGATAGTCTTGGCCTATCCCAACCTAGAGCGCAGAAGAGGAAGCAGGGTCAGATAGACCATTCTAACCCTCCCTAGTAGAGCCGTGTTAGAATTACCTAAAGAAAAAGTTAACAAAAGCTAGGGTTAAGCCTAAAGCCTTTAGATTATTAGGAGCACTACTTACTGCTAGACTATATAGAGCAAGAAGAACCAAAATTCTTGTTTAATTTAGAGCTATAGACCTTTATGACGTGTGTGCGCGTATCTATTAGTTAGAGCCTTATCACCTACTCCACTGTCAGCTCAACTGTGCACGGGCCGCTATTGGTTATTGTGCACGGTACTCTTGGGTTGTCAGGGGGGGGGGCATTATCAGCTTGTCTGTAGACTCACCCAACCTCCCTGACCCCTGACTTTACCTAATAAGTAGCTGTCGTAGGCCTTATCGGACAAACAATAGACAGCGTTGCATTCAAAACAAACTCTAATAGCCAGCTTACCAACCGAACCACATAATTCTGCAAATAGCTTGACTTCAACCAACCAATTTGAAGGCTAAACTTGGCTTAGGTGTTCTCAATACATAGATATGCAAGGAGGCTCCTCCTAAGATGGCTCAGGGAAGTAGCAATACTCTAACACGACCGGGGAAAAAACACAGTGTCTGTGGATGAAGCACAACAGACACGAGTGAGTCAATACAACTGTGTTGGTGATGATGATGATGGATGAGGAAGAAGCTCCTCATCAGTGGGATGTGGGCTGAGCCTGGAAAAGATGAGGGGCTGTGGGATCACGTGACTGGTCTCACGGGCCCCCTCACAACAGTATCAACATTATCCCCATGACTCAGCGGGGTGGGGCCGACCCGATATCACGTGACTCTCCTAGACCGCCCACTTAATATATCGTGAATATCCACGGCAGCGGCCACTTCCCTTCTTCTTCAATCAGCAATCACCATCAGTAGCAATATTAACACACCACTATTTCTGCCACTCGATCGATCAACCCGTGATACCAACAGAAGCACAGCACCATAGAGTCCCGTAATCAAACCCCCGTTCGTAATACAACTCCGACCGTGGATAAAAACAACCCTCGTCGGTGTCGAATCAATCCACATTTCCTATCTTATTCTATACTGAAAGTGTTTAGGGTAGTTTAGGGCTCGTGCGGTGCGGTGATCAAGAGAGAACACTACAACCTACACAAGCAACCAGCGCTTCATTCAAAGCAATCAACCCAACAACTTTGGCCTTGAAGTTGGTTAGTTGACTCGAAGCTATTCCCATAGTTAATTGGTCGGTTGAATGCCATTTTTCCACGATAGTTGTTTGAGTTGGCTGTTTTTAGTTGAATACCCTGGGGCTCATGATGCTATTCCCATGGTATATAAAGGCAGCCCATCGCAGCCCATCGCGGCAGCCCTATCGCGGCAGCCCATCGTGGCAGCCCATCGCCCTACCATAAGAATAAAAGGTCTGATTGGGGGGGAGGCAAGTATAAGGGGCTATGGCTCGTGGCAGAGCATCCACTTTATAGCTACATAAACACTAAGAATAACATCACTAGTAGGGATATAGTGTAGGTATATTTGGCTTCGCAACAAATAAATAGAAGAGGAATATAGAGATAATCTGACTCCACATAAGTCAGCCAACCAACCCAACTGTGGCCTTAAGTTAGTTGGTTGAAGTGAAGCTATTCGTAAATTTGACGGGTTGGTTGATGAAGCTGGTTGGTTTGGTTGATCTGAGCGAAGCGCTGCAAGCAACATAAGATTCCTCACCGATCCGTGTACGGGTTTTCCCGATCGCAGCTGCAATCACTCTTGATTGATAGAGTTAACGAGCTGATCGAGACACTGCCAAGACGGATCAGAAGAGCAATACTCCTAATCAGTCTCGTGTTATCACGCTCAACGGTCAACTATTTGAAAGGCCTCAAGTCAATCAGGATCGGGAAAGGTAGGTCTAAAAGATATTGTAAAAAAGTGTCGATTCTTCCTCTACCTGTCTGCCGCTCGACTTGTATCTGTTGGTAAATCACAGTAGAGGGATATCCCAATTATCACGTAGTGGATCGTGATCAGGAATGTGGTGTTGTTACTTATTAGTTGTGTGTGTGTGTGTGTAGACTTATGGCACTTGTGTTGGTATATCCCCTGTAGTGTGGGAAGGTGGATACTGCCAGAGGAGGCGGTGTGTCACGTGAATATCACGTGACCCACCTCCCCGGAGCATTCCTACCGTATACCAACAGTATCCTTTAAGTCTCGATCGGCGTATCTGAGTTACGATCGATAATATCCATCTATACCTACGGTCTTATCTACTTCGCCTTATTCCAATACTAAACATGGAAAAGACGCAAAGCTGGGAAATGGTCAGCTCACTCAACTCCTTTTAAGGTGTAATTGTTGGTATTGCAGGTCGATCGATCGGAAGAGGAAAAAAGTAAGGTCGACGAACAAGGGGGGAAACGATGCTTGAAGAAATCTTGATACAGGTAATTGTGCTAGTTTGGGCGGAGGAGATTAGTAGAGAAGCTGTATGTGACGGAGGGGCCCTCTATGAAAGCGACGAAGTCGATGGGTTGCGTAATGGACGCAGGGCTGAAAAGGTTTCTTCGCAAGATATCTTGAGATAATCTGGTTACTGACGTTCTCCAGTTGAGTATCACCCCGTGCTTCCGCGAGTTATAGTCAACAAGTGAAGTATCGTGAGCCTCTTCTGTAGATTCTTGCTGATCTGCAGTAGTGGTAATTGCTAAGTTAACCAGTGATCAGTTTTAGTATCACAGATCGATCGATCAGGTAGCAGAGATAGGTTATATTGGCTATTAGTGTTCAAGTTGTTGATGATGAGAAAATGGGAAAAGTGACTGCTGTCGTGGATATCCATAGTATAAGTGAGCTGCCGAGGAGGGTCACGTGTGGAAGCAAGTGACCCCGGAACAGTCCCACCCTCCACGCGTTGATGTCCCGATAATGTCATTGTCGGATGAGTCCCAAATCACGCCCGTTAAACTCCTGGAATAGAGTCAGAGTGGGTGTGCCTGTTCTTGTGTAGGTAGCTGTGGTCTTTGAGTTCGCCACAACGCAGCTATGCCACGGGAAGGGTGTCAGCGCGCATCAGCGCGCCGCGCCCTGCACTCATCCGCTGCCTGGCCTAAACTTGCGGTGTAATGAGATCCAATGATAACAGCTAGACTACAACATAAGCATTCTTGTAGGACTTTGCTTCGGAGATGGATAGGCAATGTCAAAAGCCACGTACAAGGCTAAAGTGTCTCATGCTTCGTGCATCATGCTTACCGATGTGGGATTATAAAGGCCCTTTTACGAAACAATGTAGCTTAAACTATGTATCAGGAATACAAACTATGTAGCTGCGTTTTCATGGTGTAGGCGCGTTCATATCATGGCAGTGTGCTATGAAGCCCTTGGAAAGTGAATTAGTCCTCCCCTACCGTACAACTAGGCAGACTCTTCGCCTACATAGTTTTATACCTTGATAAGGGAAGCAGAGTTCGCTTGAACTTCAGGATCATAACCCGGGTAGTCTAAAACTTACTTGTCTTTCTTCCTCTAGCCCCCTTCACCCCCTCACTAATGACCTTGCCTCCATATGTCTCTTTTGACTTCTCCTAGCCCTTCTAGAATTACTCTGTGGACCTAACTAGACACTGCTTACTACGGACACGAGCCTACTTGATGTAACTATATTTTTTATAATGCGTACCATGTCCGTTGGTACCAGGCTGTCTATCATGTGAGACATTGATGGATGTAGTCTTTCCAAGCCCTCATATTGTGAGATCACACTACGTCAAAGCTCAATACGCTGCACCTCTGACCTGTGCCACATTCTCATCTCTTAATACGATATAGATCACTATATAACGCGTCACGTAGGGTATAGGCCGTTAGCTACTGCCCGTGACTAAGGACATCGTTTTTGCGTGACACCGCCACTTAGCGTGCGTTACTCCATCCATATCTAAGCTTTTGTACTCTTCCCGAGAGACCTCTTTGGCAAAAATACCTAACAAACTCAGGGTAAAATGTCTTCTACCTCCCCACAAAATAGCGTAGCATGTAAGAATCGTAGCCAGAATCTTCTCAATAGAACTGTTGGAATATGGGTAATAACCGGGCGCGGAAGAACTGGGCTGCCGGGCTACCTGGCAGCCCAGTCCTGCCCACTTCTTTTCAGCTGCTGCATACTTTACCTTCTTCTTTCTTATTCCCTTCTTCAGACAACTGTAGGTATAGCCAATCGAGATACTGCTGGCTCACCCTGCCGAAAGATATTACCCACCTGGCGATTTACCAGCAAGACCATTGCATTGATATAGCCACAAGCTGTGTCAGAAGAAGAGAGTACATAGTCCTGGTCGTAATACGCAAAAGAAAAACTGTAACATCGTTCATGAGATATCGGTCATACATTTGGCAAACGTCGCTTGGAAGACAACATAGTTATCAATATATATACGTTGTATTTGGAACTCCTGTAGCCAGAGTAGTTCTTTGGGCTGTTGCCTTTGCGAAAACATGTAGTACCTCCTGTTCCGCAATGTGTCAGGCCTTTGCACTATGTATGTATGCCGAACGCTGCACTCTGTATGGAGGTCTACAGGTCCTTTAGTGTTGAGTGAGGGATTTTGGATGCTAAGGGGAATATGATGTAGCTGACGTTTGGCAACAACAATGGCCTTTGTTTCTCTATTCAGACACCAGTTTTGGATTTTGGCAATGACGGAAACAGGCCGAGACACCCAAGGAGGCTATCCTGTCGTATATTGCTCGCAGTGGATGGCATATGGGTTGACTACTATACAAAGGTGCCACCATTATCTACTTAAAGCTCCCAGCTGTTTGGTGACGCCATAGACCCCGGGCAAGGTGTTCGAAACTTGATCGAAAGCAACCTGTCACGCGGTAGTCTCTGAGGCGCCGTTTCCCTGTTTTCTAGGGCGTCCCTCATCGGATCCCTGTGCCGGCGCGCCACAGACCGGAGACAAGCTGCTACTGCGGGAGCAGATGTTGCTCGATCACACATATCCCCGCAATTTATGTCATGAATCCCTTTCTCGCCGTCATGACGGTGCTTCTCGACCCGAAGCTGAGTCTTGGGAGTTACCTGCCCACCATCCGGCACCCCACATGAGCTCATGCCGGTTATACAGGTGTTGCTACCTGCTTGTCGGGTCGCAGGAGAAATTGTGCGCAGCGAGGTCACAGCTGGTACATTTACGCGGAGTCTAGTTGCATTACCGTGATTTCTTGCAATTCCAGCATCACGCAACACTGGTTTTACAGCGTGTTTGGCTTTTGGGTCTCTCGTCATGTGTTGATGTCGTTTATTTACATAACGGTTATGCCAACACTGCAAGGATGATGAAAGTCGGTCATGACCCGATACTTTCTGGAAACAAATATTGGTGGTTTCTCATATGATGTGTCAGAGATAAAAATAACGACACAGAGGTATCTGCTTCGGGATAAGAGGGGAAACTGGAGCGCACATGACCTTCGCATCTTGGTGTTTCTTCCTTAGGCAATTTGTCAGTCCAAGGTTTAACCCAGGCCGTAATGGTTGCACTTCCTTACATACAACAGCATACGTAAAGATAATCTTTAATGGTGTCCTATATGACAAGACACCGATTGCCGAGTAGCCGTTCAGCTGCACCGCCATTGCTCAACTTCAAACAAGAACTTGCAGCCAAGTCCACAAGACCAGTTCCTAGGGCGGGGACCTGCACCGTTCGTTGGATAATGGAAATCTGTCTCCATTTCGCCAAGCCTCCCAGCCTTGTTTTCGTTACATAGTACCTGGCCGGCTTAGACACCTTCCTGTATTGTAATCTGTGTTGCGTTGCTGCAATCCCTTCACAACAAGGAATCTCCAAGCTCCAGTGGACCATTCCTCCATCCCGCCAAGCTTCCTCCTTTTTCTCCTTCCTCTTCTTCTCTTATTTTCTGCCCGTATCGTGCTTCGTGGAGTCCGGGACGCAGCGGCTCGCATGGACAAACCCCGGTGGATACGGAGGCCGATGGGAATAGCCCTGATGGCCTACCCTGATGGCTGGATAAGATATCTGTTGTCATCCTGGACGGATATGCGGCATTGAGCTTGGGACTCGTTCCGCGTTTTTTTTTTTGCTGGGAATACCATGGAAATACCATCGGTCCACTGCAAGGGACCCCAAAGGTAGACCAAATTATGTATCCTACCTCACGCTACATAGTATAACGTTATTAAGGATAAACATGCTCTTATTGCCTGCTTTCTTCCGTCATGTCCGGTTTACCTTGCAAAATTACAACCTACTGCAGGCTTCGAAAACGTGCCAGGGGTATGCCCCATTGCTGCAAAAGCCCCTGTCGTGACACTGGCGCGGGTGCAACCGACTATCGACATCCCCCCTTTATTTGAGACCCACCGTCAACAGACTAGGGAGCTCCACGGGAGCCAACGTGCCATCATCACGACATTCCGCTTCCATGGCCTGGAAATTGCCCAGAATTCGCTCCACTGGGCTCTATCGCCCGGTGCCGGAAAGCTGGCCTTATGTTATCATGTGTCTTGATAGCGTTGCTTTGAGCTCGGATCTTGGCCTGCAGATGTGGAGGTCGGATGCGGATAAGGGGCAATATATGGGTGCCAACAAACAAGGCTCCCCCCGAATACCAAGGAGCTGCTCGTATTACAAGTACCCAATGAAAATGAAGAATAGAGGCGCGGCAAAATAACCAACCCCCATAAGAACCGAAGAGCGCCCGAAAAAGGAATGGTTGGAAAATCTGCAAAAGGTATCTACTAGTAGGTAAGGGAGCTCGGATCGGAACCCGTCCGTCCCATGGAACAAATCCTACGTTCTGGCGCGTACCGAAGTCTTTTCTGGCACGCAACGTCGTATTCCTCGTGGGGGTGTTGATGTCTAGCCCACTATTTCTTTTCTCCTTCTCCCTTTTTTTCACGTCGAATTCATCAGATTTGCATATGCGGGCACCACGGATTGATTTAACAGTTTTATGGACGACGCTGAAAGACATGCGGATCTTTTAAACACGTAATGCCACGTAGTCTATAGGTATTGACACGAAAACCAAACAAACGCCTAAGATATTCGTAAAAGCTCGGAATGGACCTCCCGCGTCCGATGCCGCTTGGACTAGAAACCATTTCCCTGGATCCAAAAGATGACACTTTTTACCCAATTCATACTCCATCCCGAGCCACCCACGATCCAGAAGGCCGGCTAAGGACGCCAAATGTGGAGTAGTGACGGGCTCTCCGATCCAGCCTTACTCATAAGGCGAAGCAGGGTGCTTAGTGCAGCGTTGCTAGCGAGAAAGGGACGGGAAAAATACAACATCATCATCATGCTTTCGTCCAACCGAGAGAGGCTTAGCACCAGCCACGGACCTCGTCAGGGGGGGCAGTGCAGCGCAGGCCCTGGCCGTCAGCGCACTGGAAACCGGAGGTGGCGACTTCGCGGCAGGCTTCTTCCCACTGGTCGCCGGCGATCTGATCCGTGTCGGTAGCCTTGACGCACTGCGGGGGAGGTCAGCATCGTGGTGTACAGAAGGGGACCATCGCTCTGATGGAACGGGGACTCACGTTGCCGGACGGGGTGTCGTAGACGGTCTTGCCCCACTCGTAGTTCTTGGAGGCGTACAGCTCGCAAGCCTTGATGGTGATGCGCCAGTTGTAGCTGTCGCTGTTGCCGCAAGAGCAGTGATCATGCAAGTCGGCGGAACTTGGTGATTGTTAGCCATTACTGTTCATCTCAACACCCGGAGAAGCTCTCGACTACTTACGCGACGGATAGAAGAGCGAAGACGGAGGCGATCTTGGCGATGGAGAACTGCATCTTGGCGGTTGTGGAAAGTTGACTGGGAGGCTTTGGTGAAGAAGGTAGTGACAGTAACGGCAGCTGAAAGGTGAAAAAAACAATGAATGAAGTTGGCACTGATTACTAGATCTGTCCGAAGAAAGGAACGTGGTGGGCGTGGGATGTGGCTGGAGCTGATACCTTGAGTGATATATGTTGCGGAACCTGTCGAGGTTTATATCCACGGTCACTTGCAACGAGTCAAGGACACCTTGATCCCGCTCTTTCGTCCGGCAGGCGATAATCTACTAGTATCACCATGCAGACAAGTCCATAGTGTGGACAGACGAGTGACGGGGGCCATCATCCCACCGCCCAAGGCTCCAGGGCCCGCAATGATAATTTGATCATCGTTGGCTGCGGACTCAACGTGTGGATAGATGTGACCTCTGGGCGCCGTCCCGGGCGGTGCAAGATAGGGCAAAGCACACTCCTGACCACCCGTCCGTCATCAACCATGAGGTGAGTCCTCTGGATATGGATTAGCCCAGTCTTGTTTTGAGAACCCTGAGAGCTCCAAAACCTCTCCTATCCTTGGTCACAGGGCTTCCTGTGCCCATACGCGTCTTACACAAGGTTCTTGGCGACAGATAGGTCGGGGGTTCTTCCGTGTAGGGGGAAGATCACATGCGTAGCAAAAAATTAACGTCTAGGTACTTTCCTAACTGGTCAATGACAAGGTGGGCTTTGAATTACGTAGTATGGCATGAAACGGTGAGGAGGGGGCGGAAGCCGGGGACTTATACATGACTCGTAGCCGCTCCCAAGGGTCGCCCGGGCCGGACGTACCCCGTGAGCCGCAACAATCCACGTGCAAATCATCCGCGCCTGAGTCTGGCGTCTAACGATATCAAAGTGAAACAAGGAGACCCCAGCTATAGAGTCGCTCTCGTTCGTCCGATTCCCATCTCATCTCCCCTTCATCCGAGCAACCTGCCGGCGTAAGCCCCTCCGCCCTACCGATTGAATGGAATGCATTCCACCTTCGAGTCAGCGCATCGTCGTATCACAGTCGGGCCTCTTTGATTCAGCCATAGGACGGATTCTATCCGTATACATGGGATGTTGACCCGTTGTCTCGTTCTTAGCCGTGAAGGGGGGGGTTGATATTGCTTCTCCATGGACGTCTGGCCAGGCTCCGAGCTTGGCTCTCAAGGCGGCTATGCCAGACGCGGTGTAGGGATGCTCTTAGAGATGACCCGGACGCTCTCCCTGGACTCTTTCCCCACATACGGGTGCGCGAACTGCCCATCCATGAAGGACACTCGCAAAGCGCGCGACCGGAGGCAAAGAAACTTCGATGAGCGCCATAGCCGCTTGACAGGACGCCTTAGCTCCGTGCGTTATAAGAATAGACGCCTCCCACCCAGAGCATCGGATTCTCATCACTCGAAAGGCAGGCATTCACCATCAGTCTTGATTCCCCCACACTTCTTTTTCCTTCTCAACCGACGTTATACCTTTATGTCTTTACTTTTCGAAGCCACTCTTGTTGTGCAAGATATCATTCGCCTTCGTTTCGATATTACTACAAACTAAGAACATAACCAACCCACACCTTCACTCTTCAAGATGCGCTTCTCCATCCTTACCACCGCCGGTCTCCTCGGCGTAGCTGTCGCCGCCCCGGCCCCCTCCCCCGTCGCGCTCAACTTTGACGATGTCGTCGTTGTTGGCCATGATGGTACCCATCAGATCATGAAGAGTGCCGAGTACGACGCTCTCCAGCAGTCTGGCTCCGCTCTCGCACCGGCTCCCCCCCTCAAGATCCGTGATGTCTCTCGCCGCGACTGCGCACAGTCCACCGAGATCCAGATCATGTCGGATGATGAGTTTCTCAACTGGGACGTTGCCATCTCCCCTGTCCTGAGCTCCAACGGCGGCGCCGCGACTGTCTCCGTTTCCAACGGTTACTCCATCGCCAACACCGTCACTGTCAACGCTGGCATCACGGCCACCATTGAGAAGGTCATTGGCCTCTCCCTCTCCGTCAGCTACGCTCAGAGCTGGACCACCACCGAGACCCAGACCATCGGCTTCAGCGTCCCTGAGGGCCAGTTCGGCGTCGTCGTCTCCCAGCCTAGCGTCCGCCGCGTCACTGGAAACGTCCTCTCCGGCTGCACCGACAGCCCCGACAAGAGCAGCTTCGTCTCCGATACATACACCTCGCAGTCCTACGGCAGCCTCTCTTGGGTCAAGGGCGTCATTCGTCTTTGCAACAGCACCACCTACCCCATCCCCTACTGCATTGGCCAGGGCACGCACAGCTAAATGTCCCACGATGCGGCCGCCCCGGACCAAAAGAGTTTGGGTGAAGAAGCCTGGCGATCATCATTTTTTCAGCTCTCAGAGAGAGTCATCGAATCTTAGGAACGTCTGGAACGGGCAGGCGTTTTTGCAGCTCTTGGCTTAGAACATCTGGGACACGCATGATGTAATGCCCACATCATCTCTTGTCCTGTCATACCATTTCAATTATCTGTCTTACGCGAGCTACGCATATTATTGTAAATGAACAACGGGGGTTTAGAAATCTGGATAGACTTTATGTGAAAGTTGATCAATTGCGACCTGGCCTGTCTTGACCTACAGTGATTGTTGAACATATGATTCAAGTGACGTATTGAAGTGACCAATAATGGTGAAATGGCAGTACAATGCCTGGATACTTGCAATGATTCAAATTGCCAGCAACGGGACATTGCCATCAGGATCCGCTCATACGCCGAAGTGGACGTGACCGAGAGCCGGAAAAGCCGTGAAGGGGTTGGTTGAGGGGGCCACCGAGCCAACATAACAAATCCATGAACCGAACCAACGGAGTTCCGCGACCATAACAGAAGCATAAAGAGCCTATAGTAACTTTATTCATTTGTAGGAGAGTTTCTGTTAAGCCAATCCTTATGTAATTGCCGTGGAATAGGCGGACTGATGGCAGTAGGCTCTAAAGTGTCCGTGTTTTTATTTTTATTTTTTAATCTCTTCTTCTTGTTTTTTCTTTCTCTTTTTGTAAGCCAGTCAAAAGTCAAGACATGCAGAGTCAGCTTTTAAATTGCCGGGACATCGTGAGTGATCCATTAGGTCACAAGAAATTGATTGTATCCCCGTCGTCAAACACGGCCAACCAGGTGGCCTTGGATCCGCTGACCCACCGGGGGTCCAGACCCTTCACGCCTTTGTCCTTTTACAGCATCAAGTCCGAGCCCAAAAGGGGACGCGGTCCCGGTTGAACCAGAACAGTACCATCATGTCGACCAGCTGCATAATTAAGACAACACTGCCCACGTTTCTCTACATAGTATAGAGCTTAGTTCGAATCACATATCTTTGAAGAGATGAAGTTGGATGAATAGAGGCTGATCCCTGGGAGACTGAGTCATCTGTTTCCCCGCAAACATAAGGGTATGGGCAGCATTGGGGTCCATATGCAGGACACTGAATAATTAAGCTTATGGAAAATTATCCATCTTGAGTCTAATGAATGTCCCGCGCTGGCGGACACACCCTGAGTCAACATCCTTCCAGACACACTCAAATCGCATCCTGGATCAGAAACAACGGATGGGCGAGTCAAGTACCATGAAACTTCACACACGCACATACACAAAGGGGTTCTTTGCTCCCCCGGCTGCGACTCCTCTCTATTGCTACTTTCGGCCGGAGGATTCCAATTGCCCCAGGCCCCAAACCACCCTCTCGATTGAGTCGCCGGATCGACCCGGCAATGCAGCACCCTCCACAACACCACGGGCAGAAAAATGCACCGTGATGCTGACTCGGTTCAAGTTCCACATCCCCGGTTGATCATTTCCATTATGATGCTGACAGAAGAATCTCGACTTCTCCGTGAGCATGACCGACAGCGTTTCCGACTATAATCGCTGCTAGACCACCACCCAGTAGTATAAGATGCTGTCGTAGTGCACACTCCATAAGGCGTTAATTGCTGCCTGCAGTTCACGGCGTCGTTTTTTGCGACAGATGTTTTGTTCCTAGTACAGATATTGTTAAGTCTCTTTTTATTTCCTGTTCCAAAAGTTTATCTACTTTTTATTTGTAAACTGTGACAAATGGCGATAACCATTATGTTTGGAATGATGCTGTTGTTACACTCGTTCCGAAAACTAGGAACTTGCTGGAAATATAGCAACTTCGTTCTATCTGAAACATGATGCTTTATGATCAGCAAATAAGCACACTAAAGTCATATGCTCTTGGACCATCACCCATATAGGTATTATTAACCCTAGTCCGATCTCCCGTCAGATCTTCACTTGATATTACTGCCTCCGAACCCGACGGGCGCAAAAACGCATGATCGGCGCTCGCCAACTGCGGGGTATCCGGCCACTGACAAAAGGCTATCCAATGTCAGCGTCGGCTTCTCATCTGTCAACTTGTTTTCCTTCGTGAATGCACGACACGATACCTACGCTGGAAACATCGTTCAAACGCATTCCAGGGACCCCCGTCACAACCATGCCTCATCTCGCCAAGCTCATGCCCAACTACGTGACAGCGTCCATCGCCCTGTCGTTCGGGGGCTTCCTGAATGGCTACGACACGGGGTGCATTGGCGCCATCGTCCATATGGAGCAGTTCGCGGCGACGCTCGGTGCTCTCTCCGCCACCGTCCGTGGCATCACCGTGTCCGTCATCCTCCTGACGGGCACTGTCCCCTCCTTGTTCGCCGGACAGCTCGCCGATAAGCACGGCCGTCTCCGCGTTATCTTACCCGGGGCTGCGCTCTTCGGCCTCGGCGCCTTGCTGCAGGCCACGTCCTTCAGCCTGGGACAGTTCATCTGTGGCCGCGCCGTCAGCGGCGTCGGCCAGGGCGCGTTCCTCGCCAACATCGCCGTTTACATCGCCGAGATCGCGCCCTCGAGCCGGCGCGGTCGCCTGGCTGCCCTGCCGCTATTCATGACCACGGTCGGCATCTGCCTCGGCTATTTCTCCTGCTACGCGACGAGCAGATCCCTCGATGACAGCATGGCATGGCGTCTTCCGTATGTACTCATGGTGGCCGTCTCCGTCATGCTCGCCCTTGCGTGTCGTGTGTTGCCCGAGTCGCCGCGTTGGCTGCTGCTCTGGGGGAGGACATCGGATGCAATGACCGCGCTGGTTTTGCTTGACTTTAACATGGACGAGGCCCGTCGGGATTTTCTTAATACCCCCCAAGAGCAGTCGAGTCTCTCGATTCGTCAGAATTTCATGCTGCCTTTCAGAGGCCCGTACCGCTCCAGGACCCTTCTGGCCCTGTTCATATTGTCTATGGTTCAGCTATCAGGGATCGACGCCATCACTTATGTGAGTTGTCCCTACCTTTGATCCTCAAATGTACTAAGAAAAGGAAATGAAAAACTGACTGTAAATAGTATGCACCAGCACTCTTCGATCAGGCAGGGATCTCCAATTCCAACTCTTCGCTCGTTGCTTCGGGGGTCTCATCCATCACTATGCTTCTCATCTCCATCCCTGCCTTCATGTTGGCCGATAAATGGGGACGGCGAACCTCGGCAATCAGCGGTGGTGTCTTCCTATCGGGGCTGATGATATTAATCGGAAGCCTTTACGCAGCTGGTTCCGTCGGTCCCGCAGGCGCAGCGCGATGGGTCGTAATCATCTCCGTCTTCGCCTTCGGCATGGCGTATTGCGCCACCTGGGGCATCGTTGCGAGGATCTATGCCAGCGAGATCCTCCCAGGCAACACGCGAGCCGCAGGAAACGCGATCGGGATGGCTTGTAGCTTCGTAAGTCGTGTTTTTGTGATACGTTAAGGATATTGGCTGACGCTGCAAAGTTTGCAAATTGGCTGGTCGCACTCATCACGCCGATATTGCTATCGGAATCGGCCTACGGCGCCTACTTTCTCTTTGGCGCTTTGACCATATTCACTGTTGTTGTTCTCACGGTTTTTATGCCCGAGACTCGCGGCCGCTCACTCGAGAACATTCAAAGCGAGTTTCGGCGCCCAGTCTTTGAGAACATGATCGGTTCTCTATGCCTTCCAGGAGTCCGTCGCCGCGCTGCCGCTTCTCAAGGGGCTTCTGAGTTCCCTCTTGAGTCGCAGCCCCGGCCTACTGAGCCGTCATATGTGGCAAGCTCATCTGCAGTCGCATCTTGATTTTGTCAGAAGAAATCGCGGCATCATCAGGTGCAGGTTGATCTGGCAGGTTGCCGGTACTCAACATTCTCACCCCTGTATTCACAAACTGTAGAAGTCTGTACGAAACTGATCACAAATGATCCCATTGTACTTGGATCATCTTGGTTTCAATAAAATTGGGTATACAATAATCGACAGCAGGATGTAGCTTCCTAGAAAATTCCTTTCGTAGTTTTTTGCAAAGATCATCCCAAAAAGTCAGTCCTCATCCGTGCCCTCGACGAGTTGCGGTCGTCCCCGTGTTTCAACCGTATAATGATGCTGGAGTGAATGTTACCAAGCTTTTATGAGTGTCACCCGCTGTGTACCCCTTTTTTTCACTTCCCCAACATACCTATGCTGTCTCATATACAACCTGCGCCTTGGCGCAACTACTCTAAAGGTCCTGACTCTGACGCTTCAAACTCCGCCTCCCAGTCTGATAAAGCGGAAGCAGAATCTATGGTATCAGGATGATCAAACCCCAGGTATCGTTCCCTACGACGAACACAGTCCTGCATCATGTAAATTGCGTCGTTCCATCGCTTTTGACACGCCCAAGTTCTTGCCAGGTTAGCCATGCTGATTAGTGTGTCAGGATGCTCCTCTCCAAGCAGCCTCTTTCTTGCCTCTAGAACCTGCACCTCTAGTACCTCAGCCTCCTTCTAGCGGTCTTGATGACTATACGTAAATGCTAAGTTACTTATACTCAATAGTGTGTAAGGATGATCCTCTCCAAGCACCCTCTTTCTTGCCTCTAAAACTTGTGCCCCTAGTACCTTAGCTTCCTTCTAGCGGCCTTGTTCATTATATGCAAATGCCAAGTTACCTGTGCTGATTAGTGTGTTAGGATGCTCCTCTCTAAGCACCCTCTTTCTTGCCTCTAGAGCCTGCACCTCTAGCATCTTAGCCTCCATCTAGCGGTCTTGATTATAATATGTTAACGCAAGGTTGCCTATGCTTACTAGTGTATTAGGATGCTCCTACCTAAGGATCTGTTGTCGCAAGTTTGTAGACTGTAAGTCGTAACTTTCTGCCTTGTTGAAATCGCCCCTGTAAATAAAGTAACCCGCTATGCAATTTAAGAGGGAAGCTCTAGTGGCGTTCTTAGCATGCGATTGTGTTCCTTTGTTTTGAAGCACAGCAAGGGCATGAGGCAGGCAATCTATACATTCTTATCGAGTCTTGTGTTCCCTAAAAGGGAACAATGTGGATACAACATCCATAGAATATTCCAAGTATTTGGTATACTTATCCCGCATGATGAGCCACTTTTGTGTCACTAATTGAACCAAACGATGCATATCGAGTATGTCACCCTTTGACTTTGCGACGAATGAAAATGCTTTGAGAGTTCCTAAAGCTTTGGTGACTTCTTCTATGCCGGGTTGTTGCGGTCTGTTGAGGTTTCAGTTACAATACCGTGAAACGAATTTCTTTGGAATAGTTTGACGGTCCAGAAGAAAGATGAATGATAGAATCTGACTAACAAGGGCGCCCCGTTGTTGGATTTGGTTGAAAGAAACGATCCATGTGGTTGTGACTTTATTGGGTACGTCCGAGTCTCGACCGACGGTGGTGAATGGCTCGCTCAACTGGTCCACCAAATTCTCATCACTCTCATCCAGGAGTTGGAGGTACTCCCTGATTGAAATGCTGTTCTCTTGTATGAATGCAGCAGCCTGGACAAGGGCCAATGGGAGGTACTCAAGCCGGGCTGCAAGGCTTTCGGCATCCTCGAGGGAAGCTTCCTTGCCTAGAGTCTTTTGTAGTAACTGCACTGTCTCGTTTTGATTCATTTTTTCAATCTCAATGATGGATGGCTTTCCTTGAGAAAACCGCAACGCGGCCTTCTTGTCCCTGGTCGTGATCAAGATGGATCCGTGGGCGCAATCAGGGAGATAATCGCTCAATCGACTCGATGATTGGACGCTCGTTTCTTTGGAAGTGTTGGCTCTTCCTGTCTCTCGTGCAAAGAAAAGCTCCTTGTCGTCAGCGTTGTCGATGATCATAACCCAACGCCCACGCTCTTCCCTCTCTAGCCATCTGCGAAGGAGCATTGGCACGTCAGATTTGCTGTCGTCATGTCCAGGGACCTGGAATTCTGCAGCCATGGATGTGAACGCCTGACGGAAACGGTCTGTACTAGCTGCATGAACCCAGAAGATAGAAACGTCCGAATAGTTGTCTCTGACCCAATAAGAAAATGCCAGTGTAATCTGTGTTTTCCTGCGTGGTTTGTCAGGATAGAAAAGAATACAGGCCACGAAAACCACATACCCAACTCCACCGAGGCCAAAAAGCGACACTCTCGAGTACCGTGTGGTCTGGCTCTTGCCGTAGCCAAGTGTTTCTTTGATAGTGTCTAATGTCTCAAGGCGGCCAATGTAGTCTGGGTTTTGGTTGTATGGTACGAGAACTAGATTGATCAGCATAAATTCGGAAATCTGTAGCTTGTAAAACGTTACATACAGTTTGTCTTCCCAGCCCTCAATCGGCTTTGTACGGTAAGCGCTCGTTGCGCCAGGGCCTCAAGTTTCCCCCGTACCGACTCATAATCATGGTCCTCAACCCCAAACTTGACCATATCCGAATGCGACCGGTTGATAGCACAGATGTTCTCCGGGCCATCCTCCCAGTGCCGGCAGTGAGTAGCCGAAGCCTTCGTGACAAGTATTATTCTCTCTCCACTCATGCTTCACGTGACATCCTCGCCCTATGGCTTGTCAGCAGCTGTGGCCTAAAGCATACGTGTTTCAAATACCTCTTTGGCTGTAGGTGAATCCTGAGTTTCATAAAAACAGAACACCTCTGTTTGGCCCTTAGGCCCTAGTGCCCTCAAGTCTCATTGTTGTATACTGAGAATTTGCGAGTTGATTTGGTTAAGAGATCCAGCAAGCTCGTGATTCAGCCCATCCCCAACCATTAGGACGAGCGACCTAATGTCCATGCCGTCATGAGGAACTCCAAAAAACACAACGCCTTACACAGCTTGAAGAAGCTTATGATGGTCATCCGCTTTCGAATTTGCAAGAGTGATGAGGGCCTGGCTTGCGAATCAGCACGCTGCTATTACCTCGAAGAATAATCACTAACCTGCTTTACAATCAACCCTCCTAAGCTGTATGCGACGAAAATTAACGGTCTAACTTGCCAAGAAGATATAAGTGCACTAAGGCTGTTGCGAAACGTCGTAGCGAGGTCCTCTAAGTTTTGCATGCTGCGGCTGTTCACAACTGCAGACTCGTAACCGTATGTTATAACGCGGGCCATAGGGTAAAGCGTCGCGTAGCCACATGTGCTGGCCTTTGGTTCTCTGAAAGATCCAAATGGGTGACCCCCCAGCCCCGATATCGCCACAATGCTTCTCAAATTATCAGTGTCACCCATAAAGTCATTCTTCGGAGTACATACTCCACCCTGTGGTCTTCTGGCGAGGGAGTGAAAAGCGTAGTCAGTCCAAGAAAGCCGTGGTCCAGTATGAGCGTCTGGCTCTCCTCTTCAGGTCGTAAGCTGCCTTGAAGCATCTTTGGAGGGTCTGTCCCGTCCTGAAAAGTGGCTGTCCCGGTCTTGGAGCGTCCATGGGCTTCTCTGGCAAGTAATTTGACGACTGGATCGTGACAGTCATCATGCATCAAAAGGAATGATTGAAGGTCATTTTTATCCCATACGAGAGGTACGCCTCGAATACGATAGTTCTTGGCACCGCTTGCTTTTTGACGTTTTGGTGGCGGAGTCAAAGGTACCGGCGCCGGGGCGAACAGAAACATGTTTCTAATGAAGATGCTCGCGATTGCGACGATGATTAAGAAGACGGCGGCGGTAAGGTCATTCCATGCTATGTTGTAACTTGTGCCTAGGTGAACATAAGGACCGCTGATTGATTAAAAGTAAGATATCGATATGACGAGTTATGACTGATGCTTCCCGCCGGTCAGCCTCGAAATGCTTTGGCTGGAAAGGATTATATGCCCCGAAACAACTAGACAGGACGGCTCATGCAACGAGAAATCCATATAGAAAGGACAAGAGAAATGATTTTACATTTGCAGGAGAAGAGATCAGGCAGAACATAGTGTCAAGATGGGTAGTCAGGCAGCCGGATGGCTGAGACAGAGGTGAGGGGGGGAATGCACGTCAGCAATGGCGAACCCTTATCTGACCATTCGATTAATTGAACATGCACATTCTTTAAGCGCAGAGCAACCTTGAACTTCAAAGTAGATCAATCAGTATCTTCAGCCCATGGGCCTTTTGCTCTCTTAGGGATAGCACAGGCGTTTCCGTTGGAACCTAGCAGGCCCGAATAAAACACAACGAATCAGACGTCTATCTGCTGTTGTCGAGAACCCACCTTACGAAATTGAATAGTCGATACAAGATGAAACCAAAAGAGTGCTGGCCACATAGCCAAGACGATACTGACAGTGATCATAAAAAGTCCTATCGACGAAAACGCTATTCCATCAGAAAGGACCTGGAAGCGAGCATCGTTTCCAAGCCTTTCTGTGGCTAGAGCTACTTGCATTGCGAATAGTAGAACTGTGAGATACACAAATACAACAAACAGCCAGCCCAAATTGCGCCCAAAGAAGGTGGTGTAGCGTTGTGAGCCCGACATGTGACCGAGTACCAGATTTTGCAACGATAAGCCAGGTGCCCCGATTCGGTAAAGCAAGTTAAGACGAGATAGTCGCGACTCGCCATATGCACCGGGCTCGGGCCGGAGTGGACGAACTGCGTTTCTCCGGCTCGGGAGCGAGCCCGTACGACATAGCAGGCGATCGAGTCTGACCGTTGGACGGCCAGCCGAGATAGTGATCAAGACAAAGGTGTGGAAATATGAAGACATCCACCTCCGTGTCCGAGACCACGTCGGAGACTTGCCCCCTTTTACCAGCCCAGTAAGAGTCAAAAGTTCTCCACGATACAAGTCCACCTCCGCATTGAATGCCAGAAAGGTAAAACAAATTATAATTATGGGGGTTGCCGGGCTCTTTGGTACCTAGGCGATTACTATATATCCACCATTATATACAAGATTGTTAGGTGTATGTATGCTGTAGAATGCGTGTGCAAACGCTTACTGGTGCGCCAGTGTATGCGAAATGCTGTAGACCATTTCCGTGCGACGCGGACTCCAGTGCTACGCTGTCGTCTCGTCTCAAGCCAAATATCCCGACTCCGGTTGTCCATGTATAATGCATGGCCCAGTCACAAACACCACCTTCATCCCGCTCTCCCTCCATATGAAGAAGACAAAAGAAAAGGTGGAGGACTCGTTACCAGTCACAGAACATAAAATAGTGGTTGATGAAGAGGTTGTACACGTTGATGATGATGAGCGGCAGCGGGTGGTACCACGTGAAACCAGTAACGATGCGCCAGGTGACGACACCGATCATGGAGCCGGTGACGATGATGGTCCATACAATGCAGAGAATGCGCATGTTGCGATATTTGTTGCTCTTGTGGGCTTTGGAATCACCGGAGGCGGCCCACAGAAGTTCAATGTTGAAGAGACGGTCCTTGATGGCGGTCAGGTAGGCGTAACTCATGATCGTCATGGCGTGCTGCACGTTGAAACCGTACTTGGCCTTGGCCCAGCAGCGCATCAGAATTATGCCGTACGCAATGGAAGGAATGGCGAAGGCTAGGTTCCAGAACTTGAACCACTCAGGGCGGATGGCGAGCAGAAGAGTACCGGCGATTGGGGCGAGGAAGATGTTGAGCGAAACAGCCATGTAGTACATGAAACCTGAAGCAAATTAGCGTAACGAAAGACTACAAGATGGCGATTAACAACATACCTGACAGGTAGCAGATCTTTTGCATCAAAGTTAGGTTGGAAACCCAAAAATGGCTGTTGGTGAGGAGAGTCGTTGAACCGCGAGCCCAGCGCATCTGCTGGGAGAAAAAGGCGCGTGGAGAATTGGGACAGACACCGGTAGCGAGGCAGAGAGGAATGTACTTGACCTTCCAGCCACGGTCAACAGCGCCGAAACTGCACATGTAGTGTTAGCGATCAACTCCAGGCTTTTCCGGCAATCTTCACATACCCAGTGTGGACATCTTCCGAGAACCCAATCTCGGCCGTTCCACCGACTTCGACGAGAGATTCGCGGCGATAGAGCGCGTTGCTTCCAACACAAATAGACGCCCCCCATCGGTTGCGGTTGACCTGGACGACGCGGTAAAACAGCTCCTGTGTGGCACCGGCGCCCTGCTCGACCCACGTCTGGTCGTCGGTGACACGGAAGTACTGGGGGCTCTGAACAAGGGCCGTCTTATCGTCACCCAAATGTTCCACCATCAGCTCCTTGAGGAAGTCGGGGCGCGGGCAAAAGTCGGCATCGAAAATGGCGAAGAAGTCTCCGTTGGTCTTGGCAAACGTCCATCTCAGGTTACCCGCTTTTCGGAGGCGAGGGCGGTCGTCACGGACGGAGTAATTGAAGCCGTACTTTTGAGCAAGCAGACGGACGGGCTCCGAGGCGCCGTCATCCATGACATGTACCTGGAGCTTGGAAGCGGGCCAGTCAATATTGACAATGTGCTTGTAGGTGTTCTCGAGGATCTCGACCGGCTCCGAGCAGCAGGGCAAGAAGATGTCGACGGTCGGGGCATTGTCCCCAGTGATTGGAAAGCGCTCGACTAATTCCAAATGGGCCTTGTAGTCCCAATCCCTTCCGATGATACCGACAGCGTACGAGATAAGAAGGTAGATGCACATGGCACCCGCAAACACGCCATACCAGTAGAATGCCGGAGCGGAGAGGGCAAACAACCACATACCGGCGCCGAGCGAGAGGAACGAGAAGACACCGAAGACGTAAAGAAGAATGCGGTTGGTGTGAACGTAGCTAAGCTTCTCGGTGTCGTTGGGGCAGACAGGGAGGACCAGAGGCGGCTCCTCCTTGGGACAGTAGGTTGCTCGAAAGCGGTTGTATAGTCGCTTGGGAAATGAAGCACCGGACGAGGCTGGAAGAGCTGTCGTATGCTTCTCGTTCACCTTCTCAGGGTCCGAAACAACGGGCGGGACGTGACTGGCCTCGACATCCGTGTCAGATGACGGTTGCTGGTTGACTTTCTCGTTGGTGACGGGGACTTCTCTAGCCAAGGGCGAAGGCTGTTGATTCTCAGTCAGTTTGATTCTAACCAGGAGCTCGTTCTCCCCATGGCATAGTATGGAATAGCTTACAATATCGGGTCTGCTCAGGCGGTGGTTGGAGGAGTCGGCCCAGCTCGACCTTTGATCTGCGCCATAGGGTGTGCGAGAATCGCCAGGGAGTGACGACTGTGGGATGGCATTCTAGGCAAAGTCAGTTCCTGCTTGATTGGCTTCTAGTCTGGCCGTGGAGCTTGGGCATCGCGCGAACGTACGACGGTAGAGGTAGAGTCGTTAGGCGTAGGAGCAATACTGGACTCGTTATCGGTGTCGAACGGGTTTGAGGCAAAGGGATTCGCCGGAGGCGCGAGGCCCGAGTCGGGGGATGTACCCCGCGGTGTGTATGGACGCGACATTACGTGATTAACGACGATGCTTGGAACAAGAGCAACGAAAGAGTCTTCTTCTCGAAGCGCGATAGCGGTAGGTGATGACAGCCAGGGAAGACTTCCGCTGGTGGAGTGGTGAACGCGCCCGAGGAGATTGGGCTTAGGGCGATGGCTTCACGGTCGATGGACTGCCGTGACAGTTGCGATGTGAGCGAAGGCGGGGCGACGTGATTGTGAGGTACAGGGCAATGTGAAAAACAGCGAATGTTGTCAACGTGAGCAATCCCAGATGCCAAGTCGACCAGCCTATCTGCGAATATGGAGCGCGGACCGAGACGACGAGGGGCGACTTGGTCAGAGGCAAGCCACACGTGTCGGGCTGGAAGCAAGGGGAATCAAGTTGGAAGGAAGACTGGAACGACTGTGTTGATGTTGTCGGTGGTGATGGTGAAGTGAAGGTAGCGTCGACCGGGTGAGTGGTTGGTGTGTGCGGTGCAATGCAATACGGAGAGGAAGCCACAGCCACTACGGTATTCACCACCAAGCATACATGGATACGAAACAAGAAACAAGAGAATTGAAGGCTGGCCGGGGATTCAAGTATGCGCATGCAAGGTCGCTGACCGTCGTCTACATGGTAGCCTCAGTATCCTCCTCACCATTCCTCCTTCTGCTTCGTACCCCCCCCCCCTCCCTCGTCCTCCTTCTGCAAGGATGAATATGGTAGACCATTACGGAGTCCTCAGGACTGATGCCAACTGCTGGGGGGCCTCCTTCTTGCAAGTTGATTCGTCCATCCAAAGCCGCGTGAGCGGACATTTCTGACCCTGGCCATGGGCATCTCTCAATCCACCTAGAACCAAGGACTACGGAACCTAGGAGAGAATCGGACCTTTGAACCATTGGATTGTGGGCTGGCTCCGCGGTTAGAGCCCGTTACCCACGCTTCAACAGGCCCAGGCAAAAGTTGTTCGCTTTTGGACATGTTAGTCGCCAAGCCGCCCACGTCTTGGTGGGACTACCTAGGCTTGGCTTTCTACCCACGGAGAGAAAGATGAAGAATTAGTTTTTGCTACAGCTAAAGTAACTCTAAACTTATTTTATGATTTCTCTGCAAACAGCACATAATTCTTTACCTTTAGTGCTGTACAAGGTTAGATAAAGCAGAACGAAATCGAAAACGGATTTGTTCTTGGTATTTCCAGAATCAAATTTTAGCTACCTAACAGATACATTGTAATAAGAGGTACTAGGATTATTGGTAGTCCTGACAGTTGAAGTGGTGACTGGGCCATGTAGCCGCCGTCGCAATGGCCCGGTGCAAAGGAATCAGTGACATCATTGGCCGGGGGGTGAACAGCTGGAGGCATGCTTGCCGTTGTTTTTTTTCTGCCTGCTTGCATATCGCCTGGCAACACATAGACCATACCCTGGAGGGGATGGGGGGCAGAAAAGAAGCAGGACGTGGTTGGTTGGCTGCGTTTGCAATAGGCAGGTGAGAGCTCGAGTGCAAGAGTCAGAGATAGAAGGAAAGGACGGATACGGGATGGCTCGAGACAAGATAGGAAAGGACAGGGGAGTGAAGTGAGATATGATTCCTACGTAGTAGGTAGTAAGTAGGTAGGCTACGCAGTACAGGGAAGGAGAGAAGGAGGGACAGCGGGACAAAGCACATGGGGCCGAAATATTGGAGGTACGTAGGTGGATGTCCCAGACTTCAGGTGCCAGCCAGGCTGAGGAAGGAAGCACCCGCTTCGCATATTGCATGCTCTCTTCCCGGCGAAGCTCGGTAAGGTGCCTGTCCAAGAAGGCAAGCGGTTTGGGAGAACATGCTGGCGGGACCCAGACAAACTACAAACGTGGCGCATGACAACCGGCCATCAGAAGGAGGGAAAACGACGAAAAAGAAAAAACAAGACAAAAAAAAGGCGAAAAAAACCCCCCCAAGTCGGAGGACTGCTGCATGCATGCGCGGCTGCCATAGGTGGGGTGGGGGAGGGAGACATGCGATTCCAAGAAACACGAGAGGAGGAGAACATATGGATACAGCGGTACGTACATACATGCCTGGTCGACGTAGTATCGAGACGTACCTGTAGTTCTCCCAGAGAAAGAGCCGCTTGCAAGCGTACCTTAGTGGAAGGAGATGAAACCCCATCTACGTTCGAACCCCACTCCTTCCTCCTCGCTCGAGACAAACTGACCTACCTACCTACCTGGCTGCCTGGGCAAGAACGGATAGGTACAGGGAGTGTAAAGTGCATCCGAGAGCGCGTACCAGCACGGGGTACGGTACCGGCACCGAAGGAGGAGGTAAGGCTCAGTGATGAGAGCAGGGATGGCGGCAGGCTCTAGCCAGGGTGACAGAGTAGTGTACTTGCTATGTACAGCTGGTCTGGCCTGTCATTTGCCAGTCATGTTTCTTGGAGAGGTCGACGGATACGAAGCGCGCCTCAACGTTTTCATCCTTTTGTCAAAATCAGTTTTCTGATACCAAACGTCCCGGGAACCACGCCCCCACCATTCCTCTCGTTGTTCTCTCTTTTCCGTGTCGTTGACGGCGCGCACTGACTGACTCGAACGTCCGTGCTCTTCTTACCTTCTGGAAGCTGGCCAACACCGCGACTGACTCATACAGCCAACGCCAGCAAGCATGGCCAACCGTCGTCACTGCACGGCCACGCAAGACGACGTTTGATGATGCGTCCTGTCTTACTCCAAGATGTACTAGCGACAGACAGGTAGTCGCTATTTCGCCGGACCGCAAAGCCACAGACAGAAATGAGAAAGGAAGAAAGAAAATGCCAGGCGGGCTTGAAGATCATCGCAAACCCGCCCGGGGCCTCCACTCCAGTCCATGGCCAGCCACTGCTCCATTCCGAATTAGCCCGCAAACTATGGCAATAAGCGTAAAATTCGAAAGCCTCCACCGGATAGCCTAATTTGACATGCCTGCTCGCCTACCGTATGCGGCTCCCTCCACTTCGCACACTTCATTCGTCTGTTCGGTCACAGACCGACCGTTTCTTGCTCTTTTGGCCTCTGGGAAGGCTTTTCGCCTGTTTGCTTTGGTGCCAATCATCTTGGGGGGTTTCGAACCCTGATTCTGCTGCCGTTTGTCGTTTTCCGCCGCTGCCGCCACCGCCAACGGTGACGAATCGCTGTCTTACAACTGCCGTTGGTAATATCCTTGGCATCAGCCCCAGTGACGCATTCCCACGCATCGGTCTTCCGACACGGACTTCTTGGTCAATGGTAACGCAACGACTCAAGTTGCGGCAGAGCTGTGGGTTTGCATCCCGTGACGAATGCATCCTTTGCAACGGTGCATCTACCTAGCTGTCGAGCAGATGGACGATAATCCCATCCATATTCGGACGTCATCTCCGCACGCATTCGGAGGCTGGACCAACAGGAACGAGTTCCTTGCAATCTCACCACGCCTGGCCGATACCGATTTTTTTTTCTTCCTTTCCCGTTCCACATTATCCCTCCTTCTATGCAATCGAATTCACGATTCCCACCCGTTGTGTCGATCCTGTCTCCCAAATGCCGAGACGAGCCAAACCCAAGTGCAGCTAGCAGCAGAAGCAGAGGCGGCGGCCGGACCACTTTCTGCCTCGTATCTGCCCATCCGCACGCTATCGGAACCTCACCCCATCGATTTACACCAAAATGGTATATTGAACCCGCATTCCACTCTCCCAATCGCGGTCGACGCTGGCTCAACGGCGCAACAGTAGGCTTGGTTACTCACAGTGGGCGCTATCGGGGATGCGGTCGGCCGATGATGACCTGAAAGAGATATGTTGCTTCATTCAACACAAAACAACGTCCAAGCGGCCAAGAGCGGGCGGACGCTGGGCAGATACTACAATCAAGCCGTGTCAACAAAACCACGCAAAATCCAAACTGACCTCTTCATCTCGGTTCGCATCTCGACTCCCGGCATCACATCAGAGGCTTTAGCATCACCTCCCACTACGTCTCGGGCCTTCCCCCCGACCATCCAACTGGCGGCCGTTACAAAGGCGCCCGCTTGTCTTGGCATCCCATTCGGCATGGCGGCACACGCGCCAAGGCGCCAAAAACGAGGGAGATAAGGCACCTCGTCCTTTCAGGTCGAATCTTTGCTGCTCTGCCGCTGCAGACGTCAAAGATCCACGACTCCGGTTGCATGGCCGCATTGCATACGGGTACTATTCCGTAATAGCAGGAAAGGGGGAGGAAATGCCCGGATTTAGGCCCCTTGTCCTTCGCGACGGGTCCCGATGACGACACGACGTCTTGGACGAGCTTCCTCTTCCGACGACGGTGGAGGATAAGGGGCCTCTGACCTGGCTCTTGGTTGGCCTTCTGTGATCCCGCTCCGCCCACCCCGCCGCTCGCTCGTTCCAGCCCCCCTTTCCCGACTGTCCGTACCACCTCTCCGCCAAGACCGTGCACACCCAATACCGGTTCTGTGAGCGCGTGAGAATGTGTAAACTTCCCGGGACCTGAACCTTTATGAGCTTACGGCCGGCGCCCTGCTCACCACACCACCGTAACGTAACCACCGTTTGTACAGTAATATTGTCAGATGCGCGCGGCTGGCCACTGGCCTCGGCGGGGTAATGAGAAGAGAGAAGACGCCTCTCGGGTTATTAAAAAAAAAAAGCCAAGGCCCGTAGCGCACGAACATGGTAGGGACCAGATCAGAACCAAGTGCTTACTTCTGACTGCGTGCATGCCCGTATCGGACAGGACCACGCCCGTTGACGTGATGTGGTGTTGAAAGTCTCCCACCACCCGCCGCTGCTGCCATGTTTCTTGCCATCTCCAAGGTGGCCAAGGCAGGGCCTTCCCCTTCCCTCCCCGCCAGCTCCCCGGCCATCCGAGTTTTCTTTGCAAGGCTGGGAATACAAGACATGGCCATTAGTGGCCCGTTGTCGACGTCATACACAGACGGAGACGCGTGCGCTTCACAGGAGAAAGTCGCGAGGCCTCATCACACTCCGGCATGCGAGCAGGTGCGCGTACGCCTTCCAGCCAGGTCCGAGACAGAACCCCACTCCTCCCTTATTCGTGATGTGTTGGCGTGCATCGTGTGTGCGTCGACAGCGTGTCGCGCCTCAATGAACCCAATATCACAGTGGGGATAGGGGCCTCTTCACCAAGGGCAAACCAACGGCAATGGCGACAATCGTGGTGTTGGCATAGAGGGACAGCTTCGAGCAGCCCCTCCTATCGTCTATTCGTGAAATTACAGCGGTTGCCAGAGGACACTCTGCCCTTGTTTACCCATCTAAGGCCTCATTAATCCTATCGTACCGTGCCACGCGCTTTCTCTTGTGGACCTCGGGCAGCATGGCTGATTGTGCCCGCTAAGCACCCTAAAGACCGAACATGGACATGTTCATGAGGAGCAGTGAAAGAAACAGCCACGACGAGAGGCTGAACTTTGTCGCTGAATTCTCGTCATTGCCACTGCCGGAGCCGCTGCCGCTGCCCTCGGCATCCAGCTCCATGCTAAAGTGCGCGGCGCTGAACGTGACGTTCTCGGGGGAGTGCCACGCCTCGGAACCGAACTCGACCAGGCCGAGCCACGACTCGTTGTCGATCTCGCCGGAGTCGAGGACGTACTTGAGAAGCGGAGTGATGTCCTCATTGAACTGGTTGACGTCGGATCCGTCGCGCGTGACCCAGGTGAAGACCTTTTGCTCGCGTCCGTTGGTGTCGTACCAGAGAGAACTGTCGGGCGTTAGCACGAACTGTATACTAAAATGGGATGGATCACGATACGAGCCTCGATCCCCCAGTGGGGACGGTGCCGCAGGACACGGCGCAGGGGGTGGGTTGTTTCGTCACTCACAATTCAGTAGAGCCGAGGGTGATGTTGGTCAAGATGGAGTCGCCCATCAAGGGGTACGGGTTCCCGACCTTGCCGAGCCAGATCATGATCTCGGCCTCGGCATCGATGGGGTTGTAAGTCCTCGACTTGTTCCTGTCGACGAAGAAGTCCCAGGCGGCGTTGGATACGACGCCGTCGAGCCCGCCCTTGTTCTCGGCCCAGGCAGTAGCGGAGAAGTCACGGGGCGGGTCACTCTCGGGGTTCCCCTTGCGCATGGTCCAGTCCACGGTGAGGCGCATCGTCTCGATGGCGCTCAGCTGAACCGGCAGCTTGGTCGAGTTGAAGCGCACGTGAGGGAACGAGTGGACACTGTTCCTCTCCTCCTCCCAGTTCCAGTTGGCGTCAAACGCCGGTGTCGACTCGTCAACCTGTAGGCGGAAAGAAGCATAGTATCAGCGAGTGGTTGGGCAACGGCCAATATCAAAGCGAGGCTTTGCTAGGGAGGGAGGATGGGGTGGGATGGGTGTTGTGGGTCGGGGGCCTCCGGAGACGGAGGCGGGAGAGAACAAAGAACAAAGGCCCGGCGCAGACCGCAGAACAGCGGGTGATATCAGACATTCGGCCGGAGGGGGGCATGACAAAGAGCACGGGAAGAGATACGGAGAGATGGTGGGGTGAGATTAGAGGTAGCTTCGCATGCGAGAGGACGTCAGGTGGCATGACTTACAAAGACACAGGATGCGCCATCACCAACGGGATTCCAGGCGTTGGACTGGACTATAAGTTTATCGAATCAGCTTCTGTGTCAAAAGGCACGGGGAAGAGGCAGGTCCCAATATCCCGAAAATACTCGCATCGTGGGTGGAACATGGGCACGCGGAGGGGGCAGCACCTACAGATGAAGTTGGTGTCTTTGCTGGTGTACTTGTTCTCCCTGCCGCAGATAGTCGCGACGTAGTCGGCGGTCGCGTGATGAACGGCAGCGAGACCGGCCGTCAGGAGGAGAGTGTTTCTCATGTTTGAAGGTCTTTGCAGCGGGCCGACTAAGTGTTGAAGCGGACGTCGTGTGCGAGGGATAATCGTGATCCGTAAGAGACAAACGAGCAACCCGGGTGAAGGAACGGAAGGGACGAGATGCAAATGTGCAAGGCGAAGACGATGACGCAGGCGATGAAAGGATGCAGGCCCTCGATGAGAGGATGTATACGGAGTATCCGTACTAGGTACGTATTTAGATATGACTATGATGTGCGTGCTCCAGTACTGGGGGAAGGAAGTCGGGGCGGAAGCAACGTCCTTGGGGAAAGTCCAGACCGTCACTTCTCGCTTGATTGCAAGTGAGGCCGGCCAGAGTGGGAAAGGGCGAAAACACGGCCCCTGCCTGCCATAACTTGCATATTATGCCCGGGGCCAGATGCAGAAAGAAGACTAGGCAGGAAGGACGAGAACCCCCGTGCCGATGGTGTTGGCAGGAAGGAGCAGGTGTCGATGGTGGCGGCGGCATGGTGGCGGTTGCCCCCTTTACACGACGTCACCTCTCGTACATGGAAAGCACTCACCCAAGGTACCTCTTTCACCACCTTTGGACGAGTGTCAGGAGCGAGGAGAACATGGACCACCGGCAGTCGCGTCTACTACGGACGTGGAAAACAGGATAGATGCACGCATTGCGTCGCTATTCCTGTGTCCCAAGGAGGGTGACACGTCGAGAGACCCGGTTCTGCTGCCGAGGCATTGAAATTGTTGCTCAAGTACGGAGTACCACGAACGCTAGCCGTAGAAAGACAGTAGACCTAGAAGCGAGGTAACTAGCGCGCCGCGGGAGGCAGCCAACGGGCGAGAGAGGAAGATACAGGGGAAATGGGAACAAAAATAAGAAACCGATATGATGTGCTGCCGAACCATGGCATACGCAGAATCCCATGCTGCTTAATGTATGGACCACACGGAGTACCATACCATTCCCATATACGGTGTGTGCCCGCCTTGGTCTCTTGGAACACTCCCGTCGGCCGGCTTCCCATTGACCAGCCATTCAACAACAAAATGGAGACAATGCAATCTCCGGGCTTGGGTTGCTCCGGTCGAATACCGCAGGCGAGAAGCAGAATAAGAATCAAAAACTAGAGGCTGCGGGATTGCGCCTGCGCCGTTTGGCGGCAACAGTTGTTTGTTAGTGGAATCAATCGTGGTTGGCGGCATCATGGACAGAACTGGAGCTCAACTCGGTTGAATCTCACTCATTCCTCAACTCACCCCCACCTCACTCACCCTCATTCTCAACCACATCTACCTCACTTACCCCGGGCGCCAGGAATGATTGGAGTTTAACCATAAAACAAGCCCATGACAGCCTGTGGCAGCCCTTGGCCCAGCCCTGCGTGGCCGGGAACCGACCTGTTCGAGGTACCTTATCAGCCGCCCTCACAGTAGCCCGAGTCAGGTCACAGCCCTCTCACCCAGAACACACACACACACACACACACACTCTCTCTCTCTCTCTCTCTCATACGCCCAAAGCCCACGCGACCTACTCGCATCTTGCGACCCCGTAAACGCACCCAAAACAGCATGGCGATGGCACATGTAAGGGTTCTGGGAGGGGAATGGGGGGCGCAAGGCACCATCCACTTTAGATAGTTTAGCGTGCGAAACTGTATCTGCTCACCTTTGCACTGCAGTACATAACCACCACATCGTCCCTTTCCCTCCTCCCCTCCTCGTGACTGTCTTTTCGTCAAGCCATTTTTGTTCTTGTCCAAGTAGCTCAGCAGGGCGGTGTGGGGGGAAAGCGAACCACCTCGATCGCTCGCGTGGGGGGTACCCTCGCACCGGTCCTCATCCTCTTCACCCACGGACGGCCCAGACGACGAACCGGCCGCATCGGACAACTTGACAATGACGATTCAGTTACCCATCCTTGGTTCGGCTCGACCCATCGAGAAAGAAGCAGAAGAAGAAGAAGAAGAAGAAGAAAATGCTGCTGGTGGGAGGGCGGCGCCGTTGTCCTCGTCCGAACCCCCTCCAGTTCCAAGCCGCACACCGACGGAGTCAAGAATCAGACCCCAAGACTTTTTTGTCAATCTTGCTAGCAATCGCGCGGCCTGGCGACGAAGAAAGGGGATGAAATCTCTGGGCATTGTGCCGCCGCATCCGTCCGTGCCCCCTCCCCTGCCAGAGATTTCGCTTGGGTTTGGGAACGGGGGGGGCAGTACACCAAGCCCGCGACTTGACGTGACTCGAAATTAGACGGTACAACCAGCGGCCGGCCAGACGGAATACCTAATGAAAAGCCAGGTAAAGAAGGACAGGAAGCCATTGGGCGGAACCGGTTGGGGGAGAGAGAGAGAGAGAGAGACGACTGCCGACGACGACGATGACAACGGCGATAAGCCACCGTCTCTGACGATCTCGTCCTGGGGTATACGCGTACAAAGCTGGCGAAGCAGGAGAGGGAAACGGACTCCAGACTCACTCCATACTCCAGAATCTGCCACAACCGGGGTTCGTCGCCTCTTCTCGAATCCCAGGGCTTTGTGTTCCCCCCCCACCGTCCCATGGCCCACCTCGCCGAGTCCGTAATAAACGAGGCGTCGTCAGCAGTGACAGGGGAGAACTCTCGGCAGGGCGGAAGGGGGGTGGGAGACTGCATGTTCCCCCCGCTCATCGTGCCAACTTGGCGGTTCGCCGCACCACCATTGGAACCATTGGAACCATTGGGGGAGAGTCAGGCATGTCAAGGAACCCATCCGCCGTCTGCATGGTGCGTTTGTGTGCTTGCCCAAACACCAATTACTCCTCGGACGGAACGGTGTGATACTGTGCCAAATACGGGGTATATCGGTACTGGGCTAAACCCGGGACATGCATCAGCAGCGCAGAGACCGCAGAGATCAGCAACAGCAGCAACCCTCCCTTCCACCGTGAAATGTTGCACACTTCTCACACGTGTCTGGGTTTGATGTACCTTGGCCGCTAGTGGGGGAACACCTCTCTGACTTGCGCATGTGTCTCTACTTTCTCTTGGCAGTGACTTACCGCTGCATTACATCTCGTCTGGCGCGCGGAGAGACCGTGGGCTCCAAGCGGTCCAACGCAACGCAGGCCACCAAGCCCGGCGACGACGACGGACTTGACCCGTTTCTCGCAGCAAACACAAGGTAGCACGCGCTGTCTCCGTACCTACGTATAACCGGCTGGAGGGTTGCACCGACGCCAAGGTTCGCGCTACGAAGGGGGCTCTGTGCGGCGATGGCGGCAGCAGCAGCAGCAGCAGCAGCAGCAGCATCGGATCCCGCCTGCATACCGATACCTTGCACACCTTATCGATCTGACGTCTTGGGTCCCACCGATTGGACTCTGCACGTGCACTTTTCACTTCAGCACATCGAAACGGAGGGCACACTGAAAGAGAGAGGAGGGGGAGGGGGAGTGGCAGGCATCGGTTTCACCCTCTCGTGGCGAAGGTTCCCCTGCCTCTCTGTCTGTCGTAGGTAGTGCAGTGAGTGAGTGTGCACTTCGTACGTAGCCCCTGTACGGTATTCATGTGGCCTCAGTGGCACCCGGCCCTGCGTTGTGTCTCGCAGTTTTTGACTCTCACGGCCACGGTTCTGCTTTCTTGACCCCGGGCCACGCTGCCATCCGTCCCCTTGCGGTGGCTGTCTCTCTCGTCCGAGACTCAGCCGACAAAGGGGAAGACCCAACGTCAGACATTGTGGCGTTATCCCGAGCGCGGCAGTTGTTAAGTAGAAAGGTTTCCAGCGGGAGGTCTCGCCAGTGTGTGTAGTCAGTTACCGTTCTGGACGCTTGGTCGTGCCTGAAGATGACGGCTTTTTTTCATTATTTTATTTCTATTTTTTAATCTTTACCCCCAGGACTACCTGGCCCCCCCATGCATCCATCCATCGACAGGGGGTGGGGGAGAGAGACGGAACTTTGCCACCACTATTGCCTGCCGTTTTCTGGAATTGCGAGTCTCGCTGGACTGTCCAGGCTGGACTGAGGTGGTGATATTTGTCTTTGCCCCTCGACACGTCTGGTCTCCTCGCGGACCATTGGATGACTGCACATCACTGCTGAGCAGAGGGAGGTAAGGTGATCTAAACCAAGCACCTAACGAAAAAAAAAAAGAATAAGAAAAAACAGTCCGACTCTTTGCTGGGAACGGGGGAAGCCTTCGCGGCCGGTCCGGTGCGTTTCTGTAATATACGGTCCCGCGGTCTGTGCAAACACGCTCCAAGCAAAGATTTAACGTTAGCCCGTCGCTTGCTGGCGTCGGAGAAATTCCATGGCCCATCGCACTAACGACTGTGAGCCGTGTGCCAATGGCTGTAGTGTCTTTGGAGGGTTCAGAGCTACTAGTTTTGGGAGGCGAGCCGAGGCACCACCGACGCCGGGCAGGGCCGGAGCGACTCCGGATGACGATGCTAGTCCGGGCCGTATGGTGTAAAACAAACACGTGTACGTAGTACAGGTAATTGGCGCAACAGAGGGGGGGAGGGGGGATCAGCACGGTGGTGTCGAACCCATCCCAGCCCACAACCTTAATCTTTGAGGAGAAGAAAGGAAGCTCATCTCCAGACTCCAGCAAGGCTCGCACGCTCGCATGGGCAACATTCCCTGCCCCCCCCGTTGTGAGGCAGAGAGGAGTGGATAAGCGTGGCCCTGCGCAATGATGCGGACCTGGGCTCTCTTTCTCTCTCCGGTCCACTGTGTTGGCCGATGACGAAGACATTATTTCGAAATATGGTTGAGGCATAATGCGCAGGAACAGCCCCCGTCATCCGTCACCCACTGGTTCCAAGTTCGTCAGTCAACCATTACTTACAGGCTCGTGGGGGAAAGGAAGGGGAGGGGGGGGGGCGGTCGAGTCTCGACATCATCGCAGCAGGGACAGCATCTTGCCTAATCTCGGCCACGGCCAACAACGACTCCCAGTGCGCCTCCGGGTGGAACACGTCCAATTAGCCATCAAGGCTCGCAGGACCGTACAAGAGGAAAGAAGGGGGCTCATGGATTTCTTGATACAACTTAGGGGGGGACCCGTCGCCCAAGGAAGTGGTAGAGTGATGGGCAACGGGATTTCCTGACAGAGAAGGACAGCCTGAAATCATTATGGAGCACCTCTGGTCCTCCCGGTTGCTGCTCAGGTCAGGTCCCGATGCATCGGGCCACCGATAGAGACAACCAAGAATCCCAAAAGTCCCAGCTCTAGACTTGAGGCACTGGTCCGAGAGATGATGTCACAAACGAGGCTAAGACAGATATAGGTCCCTTGCTGCCTTTCTGCTGCGCGCGCGAGCGCCATGCCGTGCTGGTGCAGGACAGATAGATGCATTAGCTTGGCGTCGGCCGGTAGTGAGTTTCCGCTTCTGTCCTCCCGGCAGGGAATGACTGGCGGGCAGCATCAGGCTACAGTAACGGTAGGACTGACTGCTTGGGCGGTTACAAACGGATGCGCCCACGCCGTTGAGACGGGAAGCTGGACAAAGGCGGCACGTGGGAAGCAAACGGGAGAAGGGGAGTCTTTTCTTCGCCTGCCAAGCAACCTGATCATGTGGATGAAGCCCATCGGCGTGTATCCATAGACCAACACCGAATGCCGCCTCGGTCTGTCTCTCTGTTTCTGAGCTGGTTTTCATTTTGTTTGTTGTATGATAAAGTACGCACTCATATCGCCTCCAATCCCCTAATCTCCAATCTGTTGGCCAACCGTTGGGCTGACTGGCGAAGGACGGCAATGTCGGGGAAATGGGCTCTTGGGGGGACCATTTCGAGGGGGGGGGGGGATGGAACCCGCCCTACGCCAGTCCGTGATTTCAGCGAAACCGGTGATGGGTCCACGTAATGAGATGCAAATTGTTAATCGATGGTCAGGCATTACTCTGACACAGCGGAACCACTCTCTTTGGCTTGCCTGCAAGCATCTAGTGATCAAGAGTACGTTCCGTTTAGTGCGACTCTCCTGTCCATCACCACCGCCCAGGACGACAGCCTTCCCCGAGAGGAAATGATCAGAGGGGAATAGGGATGGGCCTGGGCATGGAAATGGAGAGGGGGAGCATCCCGTACAAGGGATGGGGGGGTTTAGGGACCGGGCCAAGGCCTTCCCGTGCGCATGTCCTACACTTCGGCCTTCGAGATCCATCTCAGACGGATGGGCATCCCCCCCCAATCTCACGCCATCTCACGCCATCTCATCATCGTTGAATCGTAATTAACGCTGCAACCGTCCGGCAGCAACAGTGCACGACGGGGTGGCACCTGGCCAAGCGTGAGTGTCGTGTCGTGTCTGTACAGAGAGTTTTCGGTACCCGAAAGCGAGAAACTAGCAGAGGGGGCCAACGGACCTCAACCAACGGAACGAGAACAGATGGAGGGGCTCGCGATGGGCGTGCTTTGTTCCCTCTTGATTCTAATTCTGACCTGTCATCCAACCATCCATCCATTCCTCCCGTCTCCGAAGTACTTACCTACTTCCGGCCATGGGGCTACGAGGTAACATGAGCTCGCGGCGGCTGTACCTAACGCCAAGCCTCGAGCGGTGGGAACATTGCCGTGGGGGTGAAAAAAAAAAACTATAAAAAAAAACGAAGAAAAAAAACAAAACACAATGCCAAGACGTCTCTTTCAGAGACGAAAATGGCCTAGAGATTGGCGCCCGCCCACCGCGGGCGGACAATTTCCTCCCTCCCTCCCTCTCCGTCGTCTGCTGCTCCGTACGCTCCGCCAGCTACATTTGTACCTGCATCTACTCCGTACGTCTACTGTATTCCGTATTGTATATCGATGTGTTTGTTTGTCTGTTTCTTTGGCAATGCAAGGGGAAGCCATGCACACCTCCATGTTTGATCTCTCAAGACGGCGGCGTTGGCGGAGCGAACGGACGGCCACTGAGCTATGAGGCGCGAATGCGTACCGTTTATCATTGCCATCACCCTCGATGTGTTCCATGGGCGCGACTTTGCTACCTATTCCAGCCTATTCCAGCAAGTCGGTTACACACACGACTTATGAACCAGGTTCCGGTCCCGGTTTCGCTCCTGAACGCTGCTGGGATCTGCTACCGGGCACACCGTGAGCTTCCTGATGGCTGCCACTCCCCCCTGCTCACACTTTATCTATTTTTCCGTGTCCCCTTTCTCTCGCTGACAATCTTGCGGGTGGCGCCTACATACGTACCGTAGTAGTCCAATACCTATGACCTACCTACCTACCTACCTAGGTAGTGTACGTGTCCCTGACAGGGCAGCAAGTATCAAGTATCTTTGGCATCTGGGACGGGAATTGGTCTTCCCTCCCATGTTCTGCTTTCCTGGAGCAAGGATACGATGCCCATGACCATGGCTACCTAGGCCTAGGTAAGTAGATGTTCACTCCTCTGTCCGATGCCTTGCGCCCGCCCATCCCATAGTGACTAAGCAAATGTTCAGCCAAATCGCCCAACGGGAGACCAAAACCTAACGTCGTTAACCGTTAGTTTGATCAATAGTAATTTTATACCGAGTACATAAAGAGTCGGATCAAACATGGTTTATACCAATTTCAAGACAAGAAACGCTCCTTCGCCTATACCAGTATCTGGCGTACGCTATGGCCCTTGACTTCAATAGCTGCTATCAGTGTAATACCATCATCAGCTTCGGTATCGTAACTCTATTGTTACAAGACCTTAGCAAACTTGTCCTGTGAGCTAGGGGTAAATGTAATTCGGCTGAATTTTGACATCCCCACTGTATCCTCATCCGCATCCGGTCCGCACGCCCATCACCTTCTCCATCCCATCCAACCGTCCCATCATGCCGTCAGGGCCCCCTTCCCACAATGCAGTTATGTGGTCTGGTCCACAACCCACAATCTACAGCTGACACACAGTCCACAACTCTTGGACGGCACCGTCGAAGCATCGGGGAAGAGAGAGAAAGCCAAGACATTGGAGGATATATCAAGAAAGAGGCCCCCCCCTGGTGCTGGACCCGTTGTCTCTCCCACTCCAAGTAGTTCGTCTGTCCGTCACCGTCACCGTCATCGTTGCTATTAGCAGCCATCGTTCTTTTCCATTCACATTCGTTGGAAACTGATCTGCATCCAAGTTTGGACAGCCACCGCAGCTCAAGTACCTAGGCAATCCCTCTGCCTCCCTGCTCCAAGCCTCCCCCTCTCTTATTGCGCTTCCAATCTCTCCTGGTCCCTGTTCGTCCCTCAAGGACAACTCATCGCAACTAGGTCGACATACAACCTCTTACAAAACCGCCGCCAACCCCATTGGGAATCAGGTTTGAGCGTTGGTGAAACCGTTCAATTCCCACCTTAACTTCCCACCCACGTACGCCGTCGTCCTACGTTTACGTCGACGCCGTCACCCGCGCAAACTTATCCGATCCCGCCCGTTGTGCTTTCCAACCCCCCCCCCCCCCCCCCCCCCCCCCGGTTTTCCCAAAAAAAAAGGGGGCCCCCGCCGAAATTTTTTTTTTGGTTCCCCCCCCCCCCCCCCCTTCTGACACCTCTAGCAACTTACTTCAACTCTAACCGTATGTGCTCTAACGAATGGAATCGACTCGAGACCATACTAGCAAGCCGGTGCGTTGTGGCGCTCATTTGCACGGTTGCTAATCATATCTCCAAACCAGGCGCCGTCTCCAGTTCACACAGAAGGTTGGTCTTCAGCTTGCACGCAGCCATTCATAATATATGATATGGGCGTATTTCCCGGACTTTCGAATAGAACACTGAGTACCCGTACGACGAGAGAC